ACTTCACTTAATTTCGCTCTGCTTAGGAATTTCTCTCCGTTTGTTAATTAGAAACAATGACATTGCTGTGCGGACAAAGAAATTGAAAATATTCGTCTTCAATCTTAACTAAAACTTTAGTGGGAAATTAAATGCTGATGCCGAGATACGCGTAATGAAGTACTTTGTTTCATCCTTTGCAATCTTATTCCTCCCCTTTCCCTCAAGAGGCAGCCATGTAATGCGTACAACGCTTTAATAAATGTAGCGGGTTGTACCTTGTCTTGAAATAATGAGAAAAAAGGAGTCGAGCTTTGTTCTTTCTCCTGCAGGCCTAATGTGCTTATTCATTGCATATATAATTTCATGTGAACGTCTTGGCTGCTCTTTCTCGCAGGTTCGTGCTCAGTTACCATTTTTAGCGCTTTCCTGATTCTGCAAGACTTTGACTATAAAAGTATTCTTGCTGCTGGTAGGACAAAGTTAAAATAAACGGGTTAGAAAAAAAAGATCGGCGGTGAAAGTAAAAGTAAACTTTACGTTATTGTCTCCACTACCCTGCCGAAAACCCATCTCCAACTCAGGTGATACGGAAGAAAACGCGATTCTCAATTATGCTAAACTATCATGTGTTTGACCAAATATTTATGACATATATTTTGTACACCGAGAATATTTGTGAAATGTGTTTGATGAAGGACAAAATTATCAAAGTCTTTAAAAATGTTTAATATTTTTCAACGCACTACTACACATGCATATGGTCAGAAATTTCCAATAAAACTATGTATGTATGTATGTATCCCCAGTAGGATAAACCCTGCTAGCGTGATTGAATAATTTTTGGGCAAGCGAAACATTCGAATTAGACTTGAAAAAACTGAAAAACTTGTAGAAATTTTAAGTCGTGATATAGTAATGTATGAACTAGCTTGGTTTAGAGTACATAGAGCCCTGTAAAGTTGTGTTTGATAGAAAGAAGTACTGGATGCACAGATGCTTGCCGTTTCTTCATTCTTTATGCAAAAATGTCATTTAGAAGTTGCGAGTTTGAAAGTTTATGTCGAACAAATAATATATGAGTGCCATTTACAATTTGGGGCCTTGGGAAGGCCTGAATTTTTGTGCGAGAAGGAAATTGGAATAAAAGAGTTGGAGGGGTTAGCACTTGGTTGCGCTATTGGGGACGTTTTTGTATGAAAAGATGCTAGAAAACGTAAAGTAATCTTGAACTCTTGGAATGCTAAAAGTAATGGAAAATATTTGGATGGCAGAAATCACAAATTTGGCAGTCCTCCTTAGCTTCCCCTTCTATTAGTTGTGTTTGTGAACAAGGGTTGAGTTCAACTTTTTTCTACTCGCCAAAGTGAATTTTGGTGGAAGTGAGGCTCTTCTGGGAAATCGTTATTGGTGTTCCCGTGCCGTTTGTAAGCAGACTGATGGTGGTGTAGTGAAAGTGGCGGTGTGCTCAACTTCTCAAAGGAATTATAGTTATGGGGATGGAATGGGAAGAGGAAGCAGAAGAAGTGAAATAGAATGGAATTGTCGGAAGATAGATAGAACGATGTTGAATTGGGCCGTGTGTATGAATGTGTGTTCAGCCAGTTGAATGAGCCACCCAACGGTCTGTTTGGAGAGATATAGATGCCACACTGAGCCAGATGGATGAATGGTTAACTCAGATATTCAATCACGAAACTAAAGACTAGGAGAGAAAAGATACCATTCAAGATGATGTTGTGTGGGGCAGAGTACGTAGCAAAGTATTTCCAATCCAATAAGTTTACTTGCTTTCTTCTCAAGAAATGCTCTTTTTAGGAAAGCATTAGTTGGAAAATAATCATTTGAGTGATTCAAAGAAAGGCCTTGTTATACTACCCGTTCGGTCGGATATGGTTATTATCGAAATGAGCAGGCAGTTACTGTTGGTGTGCAGCCTCGGTGTTGGACCACCCACCCTCTGCTTCTTCCTCCTGTCCCATCCATTTGACGGAATATGGGAATTCCGAGCTACTCGATCCCAAATTACAGACCTTTTATAGAAAGTTGAAGTAGGTGCTAAATGAAGCACTCACAAACTAGGCTGCATCACCACCTCCTCGTCGATTAAACTCTGTACTCACAAACTTTTGTAATGAAAATGGAATTGAAATTGGTTTACATTATTACTTAACAGCTACTCACCCTGACGTCAATATCGCAATTTGGGGTCTCATTATACATACATAGGGTCTCAGATTACAGGGTTCCTTTTATCGTAATAAGTAGGCTGGCTAGACTGCTATCAAACATGTTCAAAATCACAATAGTTGACGAAAGTCTGCAATCTGCAAGCAATTATGAAATTCTGCTAATCATAGAGTTCAAGTCTTCTGCATGAATTTATAACAAGACAGAGACAGTTAATTTGACTCCAGATACATGGAGTACTTCATCCTTAGTTAAATCGTAATTATGTTCACCGGTTTACGTAACTTTTTTTTAGATTCTACTGCTCTCGTACATAAGTCGACATAAGTAAGATTAACAATGGAGGTCTCCCTCTCAGATTTTGACCAAATGTGATAATCGATTAGACACCTAATTAATCTAAGGTTTGCAAAATTCACAATCTGCTAATGGTCAGATTTGGCGAAAATATTTTACACTTTAAAACTTTACTACGCGTTTTCTCTTCTTCTGATGGAAATATCTCAGTCAAACCTGAGCATTGGCGGATAGTGTCTTTTACAAATTTCATTAATTAAGTTTGTGATCGATTCACACTAATTTAGTAAAAGTCAGAGAGAATACTCTACGAGACCTTCAAAGATAATTATGGAAGTATGGAAACCGTGATGATTGCATGGAGTCCGGAGCAGGCTTAAGAATAAGTACATAAATGTTGATTGCAAATAGTTTATGTACTTATAATTTCTGGTCGTGTTTCTGCTGTAAGATGAAAATTTATATATTGTAAAACAAAATTTGTTCTAAGCTTTAAACCTTTTCTGCAGACACCATTTAGGGTAACGTCTGCAGAAATATTTGAATTTGTCGGTGGGAAATAAAAAAATAAACTTTTTTGACGTTCATTTTTAGAGAAACAAATTGTTTACTCCAAAATCAAGGGAGCACACGCCTTTGTTGTTCTTAACCAGTAACCACAAGCACAAACTCAGGCCAGTTCGCCCGTGCTTGAATTCTAAAAACAGATTTAGACATTCTCGGACAAGAGAAGCAAAGAGCGTGGGCTTTGTCGACCGGAGATTGACTCTGTAATTTCATTCCAATTTCTATCTATTCGTCAGTCAAAGTGGTAACAGCATAATCCTGCTTTATTCTGCCCGAATCGGACTGTTTCTTTCCAAATTGTGCGGGTGGGGATACGCGCATCGTTGTCGCCTGTTGTGTCTGGTTTTTTATACGAATTGAATCTCAGATACACTGCAACCACTAGTTTGTGTGTTTACACAATAGATTTAGTTTAGAGAAGACATGTCTGTAAGTATATTCAGGGCATTATTTGGTATGACAAATATTATTGGTAATTCACTTGCAGAGTTCCACCTCTTGTGTAGCTGATAAATCTTTAGAAAGTATTAAATATCTGAATTATTCTCAGCAGCGATCATAATCTGAGGGGGGATTTGGTTGGTGTTGTAGGACTTTAAAATGCATTGTTAGTTTTTAGGAATTCAGTGAGGGGATCGATGAACATTATGCTTCATATTCAAGATATACATATTTTAAGCAAGAACATCTTCAGATCGTACATATGACATGCCGTTCATAGGACGACGGATAAAGAATGAACATACCTAAATATTATTATGTGTGTATGCAGCTTAAATGCAGATGATAGGAAGGGAAAGGTCACATTTCAAAATATAAGGAAACGATCTTGTTTGAATTAATCTTAAAGTTAAATTGCGTTGCCATTCATTCATTCACAGGATTTATCCAGTCCAGGGAACGTATATCGGGGGAGGGAGGGATTTCATCCAATTTGAAAAACATTAATGCTTTTCTTTTCATCGTCGTATTTTATATCCTTGGGCAAAGCATTATTATCATGTTGCTTTTCAAGCTGTAAATTCCAATTTACGTTCATTGGTATTCACACTAAAAGACTACAAATGTTGATGGTTCTACCGTCAGGAGGGAATGGAGATGTTGTAGATTGGGAATTTATCTTTTCGGTGCAATAACGGCTAACATGACCAAGGCAGACAACATAAACTAACATATTCCTGTTGTTAATTCAACATCATTGAATCAAGTGGGAAGAGAGGAGTAATGTAACGTCTTCCTAATTTTGCATGTTGGATATTTCCAACCATGAAATGCAATTGAAAGAGTACAAGTTGTTCTAGACCCGAAGTGAAATAATGGATTCCGGGAGTAGTTTCGGTGAAAAATATGGGAAACCGTCGTGATATACGATTGGTTTATGGGATCCGTATCCAGTTCCCTTGTTTTCGGAGAGAAACTAGACAACCATTTAAAAGTGTAGCGAAATAAGGCATAATGTGATGAAAGGGGCAGTATCACTACATACACTGCTGCCAATAACGGCGTAATGTTGTTCAGACTAAATCTGAGAATGGGGTGCGTTGTTGGTTTAGATTTTGTTGCAGCTTAAGCATCCTGAAGTGAACGGAAGCACTTTTTCTTTTTGTTTGGATTATGAGTCCCCGATGAGATCTGAATTATTTTTACAAGAAAAGTAAACGCAATCCATGCATTATAGTGTATCCGCTATAGCTGCGTGTGTATTATGTTCTGCTTCCATCTGTAAGTCCATTTTCATTTGCTCTTTATTCCTCCACTTTACTTTTGTCTTTATGGTTACAGTTAGCCGAAGAAGTGGGTGGGGAGGAGGAACTGTGGGCTAGAATTTGATAGCATTCATAATAGATTTGTTTTGAGAATATTTCGAATCTAAACAAAGCAAAAACGTCGTCTGCCAGTAAACTGGAATAATGCTTGTTTATTTTTTAAAGTACATTTATCAGTAAAATGTCATTTAATTTTTTCAGGACCCCATGGCCAGTTTTGATGTCAATAGTTTGGACGTAAGTTTTCTTACTTTATAAGTAGTTTTACTGACCCGTCTCATAAAAATGATTGTTGCAGATGGACCCAATGCCAACATACGATTTAACGGATAGCAACCGTCATGGAACGCGTTGTGCTGGTATGTTTGAACTTTTAAGGATTTATTTGTGTACTAAATGGAGGAGAAATGTTTCAAACGAACCAAGTTTTAAGCTGGAAATATATGTAGAACTTGAGAGGGAAAATGAGACTAATGAATTTATGAAATTTCTCTTGTTCCTCTTTTTAATCATTGCTAATACATACATATTGTCATCGTTTGTTACAGGAGAAGTTGCTGCAGAAGCCAACAACAGTATTTGTGCCGTGGGCATTGCATTCGAGGCGAATATTGGTGGTAAGTGTGTATGTGTTCTTCACGATATTGGTATTTTCTTGCATGCATAGAGTGTTTCTCCATCCACACAACATCTTACGACGGGTTAATGTTCACTTACTAGCTGAAGAATGCATCTGTGTAAAATAATAGTTCTTCAGGGACAAGTTTGATGGCAAGTTACTACTAGTTGTGCGTAGTTGGTGCTTAAGTTGAATGTTGAAATGAGAAAGCTGGGCAGAAGAGGAAATTCTCCTGTTTGCATTTAAGTAAACAAGTTTTACTCTGGGCTTATGCTCCCCTTTATTTCACTTTTAGTTATCTTTTACCCTCTGGAGGAAAGGCTCATTAACATGATTTGCTTTCTCTGCGTAATAAATTTTCACACGATGGACTCCATGATCCCTTGTTTAATTGAACCCTTTCCTTAACAGACCTCTGTTGATGTGGTGGTTAAAGTGAAATAATAATCTTGCCCTGCCTTCGTGGGATAGCCCAGAACCAGAATTACTGTACTTTATGACTACTCTCAGTTCCCATCGTGAAAACAGCCTTTACCCAACGTCAGAGTGAAATTGGTTGAACAGGCAGAACTGAAGACGCTTTTTGCAACTAACGGCAATTATACGACTTGTGGCATCAAATGCACGATCATGGAGTTAAGATTATATGTCTGTTGCTGACATCGGTGGGAGTTCACAAATACGAATGTAACAGTAGTTTAGAGACTTCACTTTGATTTGATTGTCTCATTATATACCAGTTTTGATCTCGTTCAATAAAAACGAAGCAACTACGCATGGTGAGCTTTAAAAAAACGATGTGTAGGCATCATCACATAAGCACTTATGCCCAAGTAGGTGAAAGTTAGATACTAAATAATAGTTATTTATATATTCATATTAGCAGATAATAATTTTGTAATGGTGCCACATATAGTAGTCAAATTTATTTGTGTATTACATTTATATTAGATACTCGATTAAGCTGTAAGTCAGTCAGTTATATACGGTTATAAAGTAAACCCTATGCCTACACTCAATTTCAGTACACCCTCTACTAAAACTTACAAAAATTGACACTCAATATATAATATTCAAACAAACACAAATGTCTAACTTCAATTGTTCCTTATTATACAGAAAAGTTTTGCGATGCAATGATATTGACACTGTTATAGATAAGTAGATTAACGTGAAAATTTATTAGCATTAGACAAAGCATCAAAAATTAAATTGGCATGCAAATAATGCACGGTATATATGACCTGTGTTTCGTCATGTTTTAATTTTTAGCTCCAAAGTGTGGTGAAAGTTGAAGCTGGCGTACGTAGTGTGCTTATCTATTTACACGGCGTCTTTCATTAGTCCGTCCATAGTTCAAAGTAATTGCAGCTCGTTTTCTCCTCATGTACGTGGTTCGTGCCTCGTCTGATCCTAATACCTCGAAACCAATCCGGCTTTACTTTCACCTTTGGTCATACACGAAAAATCCCCTTGGTGGATATATTTACAACGTGTTGGATTTAAGTAAAATGAGAACACGAAGTGAACCCATCTGGCATTTTGTTGCTTGAGGTTTTGTTGGTTTCAAATCTCTGCCTGGTTTTACTCCTCGTGAAAAGGAGGATGTGCAGCTTATAGAATCCTGCCGTACATACCTTAACCACCCTGCCTGCCTGGGTTGCCTTCTGTTTACTGATGATCACTGTGAGTATGAAGCGGATTCATAAATTTTGACTTGTGCTTACCAGACCATTCGTACTGTGATTCGTACTGTGCCATCATCAGGAATTGGTTGGATGCTTCGACGAATGATTATGATTTGCACGGAGTGAAAGTGAATTGAGTTATTACTCGGAGAAAATTATGCAGCGGGAAGGAAAAGGAAACATGGAATGTTGTTAGCGTTCATTAGGTTATGTAACAGACTTCATTTGCTTTTGGGTTGCTGGTGTGGTTGGTAACGCGTCCTGACGTGAAATGGGTGGCAATTCGCCCGCAGGCTCCGATCATGAAACCTGCGGTGTGGTGTGAAACTCTGAACGCCAAGCCGAGGGAGGTAGTTTTTGATGTAAATAATCCATCATCAAGCAGCCGACGACGAGAGTGAGAGTAATTTTGTGAGATTAGAGTGAGCAGCTGAGAATGTGATGGATTATTATTAGGAAAGTGTTGAATAGAAAATTGCACTAATGGCATTGCCGTAAATGATTCGATAGTCTTCAGTTGATTGCTCCCTTCAACAACACGTGTCAAAAAAGACGACTTATCTCTGCAGCAAATTAAATATTTCTTATGATTATTAGCATTTTCGAAAATCCCCTTCCCTTCAATAACCATTGCATTTTAGGAGACATTTATTCGTACACCACCTAAGAAAAATGATGTCAAGAAACTAAAAGGGAATAATTTCGCCTAGTAATTCTCATTGCTCGATCGTGCATCTTTTACTGATCAAGCCTTTGAGTTGGAGTCGTCTATGGGGAATGGAAGCCGAGACTGGGAGAGTGAGATTTAATAGATGAATCCATCCATAGTATATACTAACAGGACGTTGGGAACTCTATGAATCATTTTTATTGTCACGTTAAGCACAAAACCTTTTAGTGGATAGGTAAATTTGAACCATTATAGCAGTTAAAATGTTCAAACGTGCTGTGATGTGCAAGTGAACGGATTAAAAGTTTATGTCCATTATGGCCGTCGACTGCGTAGTTCATTGTAGTTAATTTAATTTTTGCTGCAGGAAAACTAATGACTCTCTTCTAACCCGGGCCCATTCAACGGATGGAGTAACTGAAAGCAAATATATGAGACCCTCCTCCAGCTGACGAGTCGACTCAATTTAAAATTACAGATTTCTAGATTGTGCCCATGCAGCTAAAGAGATGAGATTGTATTGTATTGGAAGTACATTATATTGCTACAATTGGAACATTGGAGAAAGTTTCCATGCTGATTTGAATGTCGATAAATTGAAGTTGCTAGATCTTGATAATAATTGATGAAGCACTCTCTCTCTCTGTAAAATTAACTTCATCCAATGAAACAACAAGGAGAAAACTTGACTGTATTGCCTGCCTCCTAAAATGCTTCATGCATACACTGATTCTGAGTTGGTACATATTTAATGGAGTTGCGAAACTTTTGTTAAATCTGTACAAACCAGCGAAACTTTGCGCTTTCATTAAATTTTCGGATTTACACACTTTAATCCGGATTCGATGTGTGGCGCTTCATTCTTCAACTACTTCCAAAAGAATAGTGTGATGCAATGTGGCAATAATTTGTGTTAGCTTGGAGTGCGTAATACAATGCGTAATACTTGATGCTAGGTTTGTGATAAGTTTGTAACAAAACACCGATGTCGTGGGGCATTATAAGACTCGATCAGAGTAATAAGGCTTACTTGCTAGTATATTATATATATAGATAGATATATGCATGTATATATACATACATAGTTAAGGCCGTGGAGGAGCGGCGGCAGGCAGGCTGGGACTGGAGATATGTCCAGAAGATGAAAGCGAAAGTGGAGAGAGCTGGGAACGAAGAATGCTTGAGTGGTTTCACTTGATTGATACTTGATACGTTCATCATGGGTAAAATGAAAAAATTCCTATCCCAAACCCCCGAGAGGATCAGACTGACTTAACTTTCCTTCTCTATCGCACTCCAAACACCACGGGCAGAACTCGCATCGTTTTGCAGAATTTGCAGCATCAGATTTGACGATCGTATGACGATTGTGAGATTGGTTGTTTTTAGCACCACGTATGCCCTTGCACACTCGCTGGCTGTCCATCTCGGAGCTGTAACTTTCTACCGTGAGACTATTTTTGTAACACGATGCACTGCACGAGTAATGAAAATCTCAAAATCCGAGCAATTCGCATCGGGCCTACTGCTTGGCTAGGACATTGTGTGCTATATTGCGCATAATATTATTTTATGCACATGTATTTTAGGACTGTGTTCCCATGCATGAGAAATGTGTAGTTTATCTCCTTGTTGCATTTGATAATGGTTTTAAAGAAGGTGGCCGTAGGATGCTAAAATTGAGGAAAACGATAAAGTGTTTGTAGAATTGATGCGCTTAACTTGGCATAAACCTTCTTATCTGCCCAAATGAATTTCTGTTTACAAAGCTTTGCAGCGCAATATTGGAGCCGTTATGAAAAACTGCTATGGCATGACACTCTACCCACTCAGCTTGTGGTCTTGGGTTTTAGCTGTTCAAGGGTTGCGACGAAATGGAGGAGTCAAATATTTCATTTCTCTTTGAACAAGCACGAGGATTGGATGGCTTTGTTTGCTTGGAAGAGAAGGAATGTCTAGTGATTACGGGAGCGATTGCAGATTAAAGTTTGGCCTGCCTGAGCATATATATGAATGCATGTGGAAGTGGAAGTGATGCAAACTGAGAGGGCCGGGAAAAGTAAGTAAGATTTGAAGAGGATGACAGATAAGAGTGAAAGCATGATGAGTCGAGAAAGAGGAGCATAGGTCGCGAGTCGTGCAAAGGTTAAGGGATGGTAGTTGGCGATGGTGGTGAGAGTGCAATATTCTGGGCACATGGATGGATGAAGCTTCTCCAACGGGAATGAACTTTCTCCTAAATGTTGAATGAGGAAATTTCAAGAGACAAAGATAGAGTCGACGTTAACTGAGGGAAACAGTGGTGAGGGGAAGCACGAGGAGCGCAGTTATGGAAAAGAAGTCTACAGACTAAGATGCATCTAGGGAGCTGTCACGTGTGATTAAGTTAGTATTGTGCGTGCGTGTTGAGCACAGCAATAGTTTGGTTGGTGGTGGTGACTTTGTTCGTCACTCAGAATTTGAAATGGAAGAGAACGAGAAAGTTGTTGCTTCAGGGAGTGGGAAGATCCCTCAAACAGTCGCAACTTTACGGCTTTTGGGTAGATTTTCTCAGATAGATAAATAGAATCTTGCTGTAACAGTGTCACGATTTTTTTTTGCAAACTCGTTACTACACAGACGTTGTCACTTTTTTTTACTTTTGCTCTCCCTATTTTAATTTAAGTATTCAATGCCGGTTACAGCTGGTGAAGATGTGACGGAGATAAGATGAATTTACAGCTTTCTCTCCCAATAACAGATTGCCTCGTTTTTGTTTGCACATGAATACAGCTCTTGCTTTATATTATTTATTTTCAAACATACGGATGTACACTACTGTTACACCATAATATGTACATACATATGCCATGCGTATGAATGTGGCTCAGCCCATCTTTTGAACTCACTATTCTTGAAGAAAGAAAAATGGCTGGTCTAATTTTCCCTTCAAGTTCCCTTCAAGTTTCTTTTTGAAATGCTCACTTTTATTCTTCTGGGTGAGATAATTGGCAGTGAGATTTATTCTTTGGGACGCGTGTTGAGAGCTAAGAGAAATTGCACAATGAATGAGGAATGTTTGGGCATTATTATGTACCGCTCATTTGGGAGAAAGTATAAACTTGGGGATGATATGGCCTTTGTCTGTTCTCAACACCACACCACCACTGCCACCATTCTCATGTGTAAGCCAAGTGGGGAAGATTTATTGCCCCGTGTTCCTCATTAGTTATTAGATTCCGACCAGTATAGTACATCAGTGAGTGTATGGTAGTACATAGTAGGAGTCATTATTGCACATGCATAAATCTTTGAGCATCAGAACATGGAGAAATTTTGTCGAGTCCGCAATGATAGTATCATCGTACACACTGCATCAAAAGTGATCAACCGCTCGGTTGCAGAGTAAATCAGCTTTCGCAAGCAATGCTTCGGTTTGGGTTTTATGTAATTTATTTTTGGCATAATAATATGGCCAGCTTTGAACCTATAAATAAACAATGCATTGGGTCGTGTCAACTAAAAACTTTTTTAATCTAATACATTGTACATACATGTATCTTGTCAGAGTAAATCTTGAGCATTTAATTCAAATGTCTTCAAAATTGATAACATATTATTAATGTCTTTAAATTTGAAAGAAAAGTCAATAAACTTTTTGAAGGAACTTTTGATATCGTCTTTGGGCGAGTTGTTTATAATGGAATATTGAATCGGAGAGAACGTAAATAATGTAAGAGAAAGTGTCAGCTGGTGTCAGAGGAAATAAAATATACTACGTACGTACAAACAAGTACGTATAAACATACGTAACGTTTACGTAGCTTTCTTAGCTCAGTGAATGCATATCGAGCATTTTATTTTCACGAAACTGCAAGGCCTTCCTTCTGATTTTATTCCCTCAAACGTAAGTCTTATAAAGATACTTTGTGCTCCAGTTTTTTTTCTTTGAGCAATTTAGGTTCAAGAAAAACTCATATTTTGATAGTCAATTATAGAATCAAACGAAAATAATCCTGGGTGAGTTCTTATGATGATGATATGATGAAAGTCAGTGGTGGTGAGAGAGAAGGAACGGAACAGTGTGATATCCTTCCTCAAGCTCCTCATGTTCATCTCAGTTGAGTGCCTTATGATGTAAAATGAAAGAGCAAAATGCTTTCACATGTCAATGTGCACGAGGCAAGAATTTTCAGATGAAAATTTTCCACTCAACATTAATTTGATGTCTGATAATTTTCTTTTTGTAAATATTTCAGGGGTGAGGATGCTGGATGGAGATGTAACGGATGCCGTGGAAGCTAGATCTCTTTCACACAATCCGCAGCATATCGACATTTATTCCGCTAGTTGGGGCCCAGACGACGACGGCAAGAAATTTTCCCCTGGGGGAATTTTTAATTATTGAATTTATTTTGTCGGAAATTATTCCGCCTCGTCATACTTGTATGACGATATGCTAGCAGAATAATTGTAACATGATATTATTGTTGTCCCTTTTACTGGGCATGTGTGGGTATTATCGCATAATATTTGACCAGGTCATCATGCCGCGGCGAATAGTCGGAACATGCTAACAGAGTTCAAAAAATTTTCGCCAAATGCATAGAGATGGTTGTTGAGCGGAGGAGTACAGTCATGTAGTATGATATACCGTATTTAAGTTGACTCAGTGTTTGGACACATTTTTTGCTTCCTTTTTTTGATTTTTAAACTAAATTGACCTTAATTTTCGACATTTAATAATTAACACTTCACTTTCGACTATGAACTAACTAGATTCATACAATATGGAGAAATAAAATATTTATATAATAGTAAAATTCTAAGATTGTAAGTAGATATCATGGAAATTTCTGTTGGTGCAGGAGAGTTAATCTAAATTATGAACGGAATGATTGACTTGCGACCACGGGGATACTTTGTAAATTCTTTCTTGCACTTGCTTTCCAAGAGCCCACACGGTCATTTGGTACAGTCCAGCAATCGTGAAGAGTCCGGCTGGGAGACAATTAATTATAATTATTAAATGATTATAATTATACTGATTATACTTATACAACTTACAAGTTACAACTACAAAGTATAACAGTAATGATATAAAAAACTACTCCAAATGTCTATTGAGCAAGTTGAAAACATTTGCGATTTTGAATCTCAAGACGCCTATAAAAATGAACAACATGTTAAATATTGTAAAATAATATGCTACCACAAAAAAATTGGATAATCTCACCAAGAACATTGACAAGGTCTTGATCACCAAATGCATAGAGGTGATTGTTTGGATCGTACAACTGTTTTTCTTCAACAATGTCGTTTATTTTGTTGACAATGTCAATCTGGGACATCATAGATTGTCCCACCAGCTTTGCCAATTGTGGTGACAATTTGTGGATCTTTATGTTGGCCTTGGAAGTGCTTTCTAAAGGTTTCTTCTTTTTCGGTTCTTCAGTGGAAGTTGCTGGTGGTCGTTTTGCCTTTTTTTTCTTTGCCTAAAACAATGACATATTTACATAAAGACTTTTAAAAATTATTTTTATAATAATACAATAAATACCATGAATTCTTCTAGTTTAGCAGGGTGGGTATCCTTCATATGTCTAGTTAGATGATCGGAGCGCTTGTAGGTCATATTTGGACAAATATCACATCTAAATGGCTTGGCCTCGCTGTGGACAGCTGCATGTTTACGTAGACCTGCTGAGTCGTTAAACGTCTTGTTGCAAATTTCACAGACAAATGGCCTCTCACTTGTGTGGATAGCTAGACAATGTTGCTCAAGATAGTCCTTTCTTGTAAAATCTTTTTCACACTTGTCGCACTTAAACGGCCTAGCCTTGTAATGTACGGTGGATTTGTGTGATTCAAGCTCCCTAATCCTCTTGAACGACAGATCACAATTTTCACACTGATAGCGTCGAACTTGCAAGTGAACTTCTTTATGCTGGTGAAGGCAACTGTTTGTCTTGAAAGTTTTGGGGCATTGGTCGCACTGAAAAGGCCTTGCCTCATTGTGAGCAGCCATGTGATTGGTTAGAATATCTTGCCGAGTAAATGTGAGACCACAAATATCGCATTTCGACTTTCTAACTCCTCCGTGAATTCGCATGTGAAGCTCCAAAGTTTGTCGGTATCCAAAGGTTCTCTTGCACAAATGACAAGAGAATGCCTTTAAATTGGTATGAGTCACTGTCTGGTACAAAAGTCTTGATAAACAATCGAAAGTTTTGTCACATTCAACGCAATCAAACTTCTTTGGACGCTCGTCATCTTCGTCATCATCTTCATTCGGACTTGGTCCTTCCCATCCATCAACGTCAAACTCGAGTACTTCTTTCTTGTGCTCGTACATGGAGTTAAAGAAGCATTCGGGGGGGAACAGTTCGTCAAGATTGGATGGGTCAGTCACATTTCTGGATGGCCGTCCAGAATCGAGATAAATGTTGCCCAAGACAATGTCAAGTGTCTGTTCTCTAGAGTGCACATATCCGGCGAAGGAGAGATATTCTTCCGTTAGGTCAAGTGGTGGTGGAGAAATCCTAGTCGATTCCATCTTCATCGGATCCACGATGGCTGAGTATAAATATGTGAAGTATGCCTCGTCAAACTCTGTTGCATAATCGTCAGGGATGCCAGAATCTGGGAATAATGTAGTGACTGTCTTCAAAATCTACATAAATACATAAATATATAGCAATTAGCATTGCCAGAGTAATTTAGCACCTTCATAACAAGTCACAATAATAATAACCTACAGATGTAATTGAAAGATCCGGTGACGATTCGATGATTTTTTGAGCCCTGGCGATGCCAATCCCTGCAATGTTTTTGACGTAGTCACATTTCGCCAATATCATCATTTTGAGAAACTTTTCGTAACTATACTTCTTCCATCCAAGGGCAGTAGGGATGTCGACCGCCTCGTAGTAAAATCCCCACCCCTTCGTATTCATTGTGAAGAGTACCTGACAATACCAAAAAATTAATACATGCAAATTACACATAATAAACACATTACACATTATGTATAGGACAGATGGTATATAAATATAGCTTTGAGACATATGCTTACCTTTGGACATCCAAAAAGAAGCATGTCAGAGTCGTGGCTGATTACCAGGTCACATAGATTATTCTGAGCCAAATATCCGAGTTGAGAGTCAGCTTCAAAGAGGGCTCCAAAGTAGAAACACTTGCCAGGAAACTTTGCGGCAATGCCCTTCAAACTGTCAACAGTAGCTGGAGAGATGACGGTGCTCCGAGCAAGATACTTCTTGGCCTCCTTCTTCAGGCCTAATTGAAAACAAGACTCGGCCATAACCAAGTCATTTTCTCGTTTCTTTGCTCTGGCTGCGTGCTCTTTCGCCTTCTTGGGTAGTTTCTTGCCGTCGGCAACAAGGTAGACGACACAGCCTGCTGCGACAATGGTCCTCACAATGTCTTCCACTGACGATATCACTCCAGGCGTAGAGTCTGGAAGAGTATTGTCGTCGGCAAGGCCGGATGTTTTCATCATTCGATAATGACCTTTCACGACGTATCTGTAACAAGAAAACAGAACAATAACATTGTTAATACCCTTAAATAAAAATTTGAATATTAACCAAAAAGTAAATAAGTAAGGCTTACCCCATGACGTCTAATGCTATTGTAGATCCTTTAAAGTTGGAAATATTTACGGGTCTTTGCCTCATTTTGAGATGAGGAAAGGCTCTTGGAACACCCATTATCAATTATAAAAGAGGAGGGTACAGCCCAAATTTAAATCAATTTGTAAATTGTTTCACAAATATGTATTCTTCTGTAAAAAAAAAACAACTGACTTGCGTACATGATTGCTTGATGCTCACCGACTACTAATATCCATCGCATTAAGTTAACTCAGTGTTTAAATTTCCTTTCTCTTCATATTCTCACTTCGCCCCGTTGGAGCGGACAGAAAAAGGAGTAGCAGTACCCACACATGCCCAATATCATGTTACATTTATTCTGCTAGCGTTTTGATTTTTAAACTAAATTGACCTTAATTTGACCTTTTTTTAGTTTTTAATGATTTTTTTCCATTTTTTCACTAGCATTTTCGACATTGAGCTTAGGAGGAAAGTCGCACTACTTGCCAATCACAGATCCTCATGTGGTACTACGACATAGCCAAAGGGCATCAACAACTGTGATTAGCAAGTAGAGCGGCTCTCCTCCTTAATAAAATTAATAAATTAGTTACACATACTTTGTATGTATTTGTAACTAGTTTAATTTCTACGCAAATTTGAACTTAATTTGAGCTATTTAAAATACGATCGAGTTGCAATTTTCACTCCCACATTACCTGATTCAATTTGATCATGAACAAAGTATTACATTTATTTCATAGAATTTTTTAAATCATGCAGGCAAAACTGTCGATGGCCCAGGGGAGTTGGCAACGCGAGCTTTCATGGAAGGTAAAAGGCGGACGATCATTTTCGTTTCCTCCTGTTCAAATAGCAAAAAAACGTTCGATGAACTTTTTATAGTTAATTACATGTGTTGTTGTTCTGTTTTTTTTTGGACCTGATCTTTTTTAATGGAAGGTGTTGCAAAGGTGAGTGTACCTCGTAATTAGTCATGAGTTTGAATATGCTCAATGATAAATAATAATAATATCTTATTTCATTATCCTTTCCTCACTTTTACACTTTCATCTTGCTTGGGAACTTTTGCTAGACATGAGCATGAATACATATATGAGCAGTAGCAGTAATCTTTTTGAATTATTACTGAATAGCTTACGTTGATAGAAATACGAAGTAACTCGAGTTTTTATAATGAATAAAAAATGTTAGGACAGTCTGACCTTACTTTAGTCCACGTCAATCGTCAACACAATTTTGTAGAAGAGAGTTCATTTCCAACAAGTCAATTTTACGAGATAAAAGTGAATGTTGACAAATCTTTACTGGAAACCTAGATTTCGTCTGTGGTTTATAGTTTGGCTGACGTTGACACTTTCTCCTGACGGGAGAGAGATAACTGCAGTTGGTGGTGGTAATGGTGACGAATCTCTTGGGGGATTTTTGCTCCAAATAGAAATCATTCATCAATAGCAGCAGCAGCAGCATTCCGAGCACCGCCTCTCACTAGGGATACTTTCGAGGTGATAGTCGTGTCCAGGGTACTCGCTATGTTTTTTAGAATCTACTAGGACACCAGATAGAGGATCCATTCGTATTTCCGTGTAAAACTCATATTTGGCGCCGTAGCGTGGCGCCAAACTTAAAAATCTGGATTTACGACCAATTTCAAACCTCCGTAACTTTTGCAGTTTCCGTGGGATTTTCAAAATTTTACGCTTAGAATGATCACAAAAGTTGAAATTTTAAGAAAAAATGAAAAACAAAAACTTTTTTTATTTTTGAGTTATTTTTACGATTTTTTCGACGAACCCCCATGTTTAAGATAATTCTGAAATTTTGCAAAAATTTAAAAATTTTAGTTTTTTGAAAAACGTCATGGAAATGGAAAGTTGAACCCTTTTTGATGATTTTGGTGAAATATTTTGAAAATCCGTCCAAGATTTCAAAAGTTATGACGTTTTTAAAATTAAAAACATTCAAATTTGGCGAATGTAGCGCCACGCTACGGCGCCAAACATGAGTTTTGCACGGAAATAAGAATGGATCCTTCATCTGGTGTCCTAGTAGATTATAAAAAACATAGTGAGTACCCTGGACACGACTATCACCTCGAAAGTATCCCTAGTCAGATAGATAGATACGGACGGGTGATAAATACAGACTGCATTTGATATGCGGTGATTACTGGGGATTTTGAAGAAGATGAGTGTTGCGCACAAGTGGAAATTATAATTCAGATTTTCATCAGTTCATGTGTATGAATCCATAGTTCATATGTACACGTGTAAATAGATACTTCTCGGATTCCAGCAGTGTGTGAGGGATAAATAGCAAACTGGAAAGATGGCTTGGGATCACATTTCTGGGATTTAATTAAATCCTGTTCTGCATTTCCCCGAGTTCATTAATGAAAATAAAATCATTTTGAGAGTTCATTCAAATATATGCAGTTGCAAAAATACTGTAGTTGCAAAGGCAATTATTTCGTCCAGTTTAAACAATGCATGCTTTACATGCGAGCAATTCAGTCAAGTGCATGCATGTCAGAGCATAATAGTCTTTTTCCTTGTGGGAGTTCAGGGTAGTGCTGCTGATGAACTGGCAGCTTGGCTGCATCAAATTATTGTCGCTTTCTTAATGCATTGGGCCATATTCACTTTGTTTAATCTGAATTTACGCATGAATGGCCAGTAATTATTTGTTTGTTCAAGATGAGATTGCATGGGGTTGTCGTTGGAATGGGCAGCAGAAGTGAGCAGAGTGAACAATTGGGTTTGCTGAGAAATTTCGGGCTGATTATTGTATGCATGGCTGAGACAGCATGTAGCGTGGAATTTGATGTCAGGAATTTTGCCGAAGCAAAACTAGTTTAGCTTTCTTAAACTTACTTATAGTTTCCCATTCCCTTTTACTTTAGATTACTTTTGGCTCCATGCAGATTCTCTCCCTCCCTCCACGTCTTGTACGTAATGCTGATCTTAGCAGCATGGTTTTGTTTGTTTGTACAGCACACTTTTGCCTTTAGAGCACTACATATACTGGCTCTCCAAGTTGTGCACTTGAAGAATGGTCAATCTCTTTGGTATCAGAATGTGGGTTGGTTTTAGTTCATTTGTTGTCTTTTGGTCGTCTTCTTGCTTCATTCAGGCCTACGTACGTGTGTATATATGGATAGTGGTTTTCCTGTATGTTTAACATAAAGGCAAAAAGGGTTTGTATTTAATGTGCAGCTTTGTAAGCATAAGACGAAGAAATTCTTTTGGTTAGCAAGAGGCAAAGTATTACTGAGCAAGATAAATGAACAAGATACTTGGACCAACTTCCTTTTCCTCTTCTTAACAGACTAACCAAACCAAAACTGAATTCCTTATTTCCTTTTGATATAATGCAGCTATTCAACATCTAATAACATTCTGCCAGCTCTCTCTCTCTCTCTCTCTCTCTCTCCTCGCTGGAAACAGGATTTTAACACTTGGCACAAAATTTTAACTCAACCACACTTCACTCCTTGCAAACTTTCTATTACGATGAAATACCCAACCAACCGTCCACCACTTTCAAGAAGCACCATTTCACCAGCAGAGAAAAGTTAAACTTTAACTTAACTGCCTGTTAGTAGTTTAAGCACCCAGTTGTACGCTAGCCGTGTATGTATACCCGATGGAGGCAACTAATCATTTTTCATCCTCGTTACACTTATGTATAAGCTGCTTCACTCCGAATCAGGCTGTGGAGATTTTCTCAAGAACGGTCCGTGGTGTTGAGATGAACGGGTGAAATCATTCGGAGTGAAATCTTGATTAAAGTTGGCTCAAGCTCTATGTCTAACGTTCACGCTGAAATAAAATAAATATGATTTTTTAAACTTGAGCAAATATGTAGATCTCAAGTAACTATGTAGATGCATAGAATATGCTCCAATATGTGTAATAAGACCATAGCGGAATTTCATGTTTATGCAATGTCTCATTATGCAGGGTTGGCATTCATTTGTTCCTGGAAAAGTAATTTACTTGGCTCTATTGTGCATAATATAAGGTACAGGAAACTATTTGTAGATAAATGATAATTGAGTACATGGGTGACTCGAGCATTGACTCGTAAATATTGTGCACATTGTATAACTTACATTGAGAAGAGAATAAAATCATGCTGTGCATTTTTTAGACCCTATTTCTCCTCTCCAAGTTGACTGGTTTTATTTTTTGTCATCTTGATTTGAATCATGAACGGGGCCGACGAGCTGGGCGGACTTATATGTAAGCAACTCGTACATATATCTATCCGTGTGAGAGGTTGTTCTACTTTTATTTGGAAATGGTCATGCCATGTCATTTTACGAGGATGTGGATATCTGAGTATGTATAACCTTACTCTGTGTGCCATAAGAGTTTTCGTCTCAATGTTGTTGACGGTGCTAGGGTAGTGGCGTTGAAGAATTTTTCTTGCCAGAGTGGTTTGTGTCGGCTGATATGATCTTGGTTTAATTCATTTTTATAGGTGTCTTATTTTCCTCTGTCCCCCCGAATGAGATGATGTAGAAACATGGATGTATGTACATAGTGGTGCCAACTGGTATAGATAATTCCCATAACTGGGTTGTTTTCATTCACGTTTTTTATGACGTCGACTCATTCCAGCCCTATTAATTTCCATAACTTTCTCCTTGTTGTCCTGCATTCCAAAGTTATGAACTTCTTAATGGCAATTGAAACTCAAGTTGTCCCATTCTCTCATAGTTTACAACTTCATTTAATGGTCACCTAGCATGAACTATAAAAAACCAAACAACAAACATGACAAGTTAGGGGCAGGATTATGTAGATTTACAATATGATCAAATCGAATATCCTTGCTTATGTACGAATGTAAATACTCTCTCCAGTTGCTCTTGAATGTTCCTCCTCAAATTATGTCACATGAGTTTATGTTCCTATAATTGGATGACATGTCAAATATTTATTTCAGGGAAGGAATGGGAAAGGATCAATTTTCGTGTGGGTGAGTTCCCGTTCTTTTAAACTGATTCTTTAGTCCTTTCATCAGAATAGTAGAATTACAGATGATTTATTATTTTCCTTCCTTCCTTCCTTCCTAGGCATCGGGAAACGGAGGTCGAGATCATGATAACTGCAATTGTGATGGGTACACAAACTCAATATGGACGTAAGTACATTTACTAAATATACATTGTTACATTTACTTTTACTTTAGCCTTAAAAAACCACAGCCTCAACAATTTGTCTTATCCAACGTGATTAAATTTTTACAAGGCGTTTCGGTATTGAAAATTATAATTACATCGTTGGCAAGATAATTAACAAGCTTTATTAGTAAATGTAGAATGGGTTTTCTTCCTGTTACTTTCACCCAGTCCATTGACAAAAGGATCATATAATTAATCGATTAATTATGCTGTATATTATGGGTATAGTTGGGATTTAAAATTGTATTGTCACAGGTTATCAATCAGCAGTGCCACAGAAAATGGATTGGTTCCTTGGTATTCCGAAGCGTGTAGCTCAACGCTCGCCACAACTTACAGCTCTGGTGGAACTGGAGAAAAACAGGTAAACTTTTGAAACAAAAAAAAAACAACGAAAAGGCAGCCGAACTTAGGATTAGAATTATGCAAAGCAGACCAAATAATTATTATTGTACGTCATGATAATGTTTATAAAATAAATCTCATAATTATGCAAATATATTATTGCATGATGTATGTGGTAGGCCTTCTTCTCCGTTAAGGAGGGAGAAATGCACCAAAAGAAAATTCGATGTTGGCTTGCAAAGAATGGAGAAAGTTGGAATTATGCCACCAATCGATGCGCATCTTTTTGTAGGAATTGTCCATATATTTGCAGCGTCTTGATTCCAAGCCATATTATTAAAAAGCGAACGGCAATAGTCTGTTAAATAAACATGAGATAGGCATCAAAGGCAAACTCGTGATACACTTTGCTCTGGGCAAACTTCGCAGTGTTCACACACAGAGGAGCGTAGAGACATTAGCCCGCAGACGTTCGTATTGATATAAATGAAGCAATTTTGAAGGAGAAACTTGAGCAGGAAAAAGTTAAGTGGTACTTTAAAATTCTGCAGAGCATTCAGATGCAGGAAATCCTCCGATTTACAAAGCCCAATATGGTCCCTACTGTTACGAGATAGATGAGCCGCCAATGATATATAATAATAGTCAACATATCTATACAAATGCACACTGGTATTCAGATGGATTATCTGCCTACACATGTATAGTATGAGTTCCGCATAGGCACAAACATCGTACAACAGCTTAAGACAACAGTCGTTGTTAGCAAAGAGTATTTAAACAATTTCTATTTGAATATGATATTTTTGCACGAGAAACTTGGATAAAGTTCAGGAGTAAAATTAAAATAATAAGACATCAATTTATGCATGCATTATTTGTTTCCATTATTTAATTCCATCAACATAACCGTGCCATATCAAAAAGAAAGTTATCTGTATTCCTACTCCAACCCCTTCTATAGAAATTTTAAATCCCCAAAAGACTCCCAAACATTTAAGGATATCCGTTATCCTAGCATATTAAAAAAATAACTTTTCCATTTATTTGTTTCAATTTCAGATAATTACTATAGATTTGCATCACTCTTGTACTCAATCGGTAAGTATATTTTTACATTGCATTAATGAATATCCATACCGTTTTCTTTTCAATGGAGAGTTTGGAAATTGTTCTAACGACTTTCTCCGTCCTCGTACAGCATACGGGAACATCAGCCTCCGCCCCCCTTGCTGCTGGGATTTGTGCCCTCGCTCTGCAGGCCAACACAAACTTGACGTGGCGTGATATGCAGGTAACGATTGCGCTTAATTATTCTAAATTAAATTCACAGCGTCAATTTAATCTGCCAAAAAGTATGTACATATTTATATGAGTGCAGACAAACAATACCACGACTCATCTGTCACAACATTTAAATTTAATTTGTAATTTGCAGCACATCGTTGTTCGCACAGCACGTCCTAACAACTTAATTGCTCCAGACTGGAGCACCAATGGTGTTGGTCTTAATGGTACATTGATATATGACTAAATGTTCTTTGAATGTTTCTCCTCCACGGAGGGAGAAAGGTGGAGGGTGCTCTATCTGTGGAATATCAATTTGTTTTTTACCCTTCAGTGAGCCACTCTTTCGGTTACGGGCTGATGGATGCTGGTGCAATGGTGAAGTTGAGTAGAAAATGGAAACCTGTTCCGGAGCAAAATAAGTGTGAAATAAAAGCAAAACAACTTGACAAGTAATGTTTAGAAGCTTTTAAACTATTTGTGATTGTCAATTGGAGTTACTTGACATTTTATGCAAGATTGGTTTTCATTCTAATTTACAGAAATATTCCTGCTAAAAGTAAAGTCACCTTGTAAGTATTGTTGACTAACAATTTTCATACGTTTATGGTACCTAAACCTTAAAATAACCATCTTGTTTTTACAGAGAGTTGAAAGTTACCGACTGTCCAGGTGTACGATTTCTCGAACATGTTCAGGTATGTAATACAACAGAACTAACCAAGCTGTTAAAGAGGTAGAGAAAAAATGTACGAACCATTTTTCGAACTTATTTAGGCGCAACAAATACGTCATCAAAATGGTCACTTACATAAGAAAAGCTGTTTTACCTAAATTTTGTGATTTTGGCATTACCTACATTGGTTGGTAGTGATTGGATTGAATTGAAAGTGGTTGGTAACGATTATTCATAAAAATGTGGAATATTCCACGATCATATTTACATGTTAATTGGAGAAAACAGATTACAGACTACATAAATACTTTCTTTACGTATGTAATATTTAAAGTGAATTTCGTGTACTTTTTTCCCTTCTATTAAAATTGCCCAGGAGGATTATATTATAATCATTATAACCTCCAACTCACAAAAGCATATAATTTTCCCATAATAATATGCATAAATTGGCCCGACCTCTTACTTAGAAACCTGACAGACTGCAATTGCCTTGCCAAACCAATTCTATTATAGACAGCCTAATCGTACATATTTCAAAAGTGGAAAGAAATTATTTTACTTCATGTCCTTCCAATCCATTTCAGGCAAAAGTAACACTGATGTCTGGCAGAAGAGGAGATTTGCAGATTTACTTAGTGTCACCTTCAGGAACTAGATCCGTGCTTCTAGCTCACAGACGTCATGATCTCAACCGTTCTGGATTTACGGATTGGCCTTTTATGACTGTAAGGAATGCCAAATGCTGCTCCAATAAAAACATGAGATATTTTGAGAAATATTTGAGTAACACAATGTCATTTTTAATAGGTTCACTCCTGGGGCGAAACTCCACTGTAAGTCTTGATCTTGTTTTTTGTTCTTTTCGACAGTAAAAATAAATAAAATTGCTGCTGTCTTCATTAATTTCCCTCTCTATATTTTCTAGTGGAAAATGGACTTTGGAAATTCATAACGAGGGACGATATACAGGTGATAATCTGAGACCATTTTGTTATCATTGTCAAGTCTTTTAGTTTTGGTGGTGGTGTCTGCCTGACTTGTGGGAATTGAACGGGTTGTTGGGTGGGGGTACTATCTGCTGAACCCTTGTAGCCATATTAATATCATAATTTTTCAGAGTGACCCTTGATCATGGCGCATATATTGTCTATCCGATATGTAATATATTTGGGTATATAGCCCTGATTGGGAGTCGAATAATTCGAAAGATGCACATAAAAATCTGAACTACAAGAATATTTTTTAAAGCTGAAATTTTACATGTAGAATATATGGAGAACTTGATGCGCGTTTAGGAAATTATTAATCGAATTTATTAATACACGAAGAAAATGAATGGCTCGGGCATTACTAAAATGTACTGTAGGTTCTTGTAAGTAGGTCTACAGAAACCTATTTACTCCTACTTACAATTAGATGGATTTACTAAGGTGGTAAAAATATAAGAATTTGGCAATGGAAATGTTAATATAGTTTTATTGTGCATTTTGTGCTATCTGATGGAATAGATCATAAGAATGGTAAGAACTATATAGTTTTTAGTCATGCCAAGCTGTTTGCAAAATCATATTTGAAAGAAGTGAATGTGCAATAATTTGGGATTAAGGGCGGACGGTGCTTAAGAGATGGTCGCTTATATCGTACGGGACAGAAGAGGACGTCAATTCTGGAGATTACAGTTCATCAGAGACTGACCTGTCTAGGAGTCGATCCAAACCTGCTTCGTTTCCAAATTCACCCCAAACTCCTGCTTTCTCCTTTCCCTTAAATTTCTCTTCCAGCGACACGCAAAAGTTTCCCACCAAGAATATCATAACTAAAACTACCTCGGCAAACAAGGAACTGGATGGACTTCAGACAAGCGATAGTGGTCATACTTACAGTTCCAATGTTACTACTAGTGGTAGTAGTGGAGAAACATCAATTTCTAATCGGAAACCATCACGACAAAGGCAGAACAAAGGAAAAAATGTGTCAAAAAAGCAGAAAGTTGCTGCATCAGTTCCTCCTTTTTCTAAAACGTTGGAAAGTCATGTGATCATTGCATCTGATGACGAAGACTTTAAAAGACTTTTGAAACTAAAGTTTAATCTGAACCAAAATCAAAGTGGCGTTTCTTCTGATGACATAAGCAGAGCAGATGTATCTAATTCAAATTTCACAAACCAAACTACGGCCTCCTCCCCCTATCTTTCACTACAAAATGCTTCTTATTCCTCTCCATCACCTTTAAAAACTGAGCAGAACCGAAGTGTGCAAGAGGAAAGGTTTGTGAACGCTACTGACGTGCACGCCATGGAAGAAAAGTCTACAACCCTAGCAAATGTTAATCAGTCTCAAAATATTACAGGTTTTTACCGTAAAATTATTGACTTTTGTCCATTTGCGTTTTTTCTATAATACTTTTCGTTGTTATTTAATTTGCATTTTCATTATACTTTATAAAATCACGCATTCAAAAAAGTTTGCTTCCAGTCGCTCTGCACTGCATGGAAATAATAATACTACTAATCCAGAAAGTTGTGTACATGCCTGTTTCACCTAAAACAAAATGCGCGTTGCAGATTTATTTATTTATTATTTAATTGTGTATTGCTAAAATAATTACAGTTTTTTAAGCACTATTTTTACTTATTTAAACGTTTACTTTTAGCAGTAATGATAAAATGATCATTTTTATTATTTCAGGGAAACTTCAAACCTGGTCTCTAATTGCGCATGGCATTGAAGGGAATCCCAATGATCCAGAAGAGAAAGCTAATGGAAACGTTAGCAAATCGACTGACACCGGAAGTAAGAGGCCAACTTCAGATAATGATGCGTCGAGCAGCACAAATATCAGTTCCAGCAAACCACCTGCAAACGATGACTTTGACGGAAGTGATAATTCGATTGCAGTACCACTAAATCATGTGCACAATTCCCCACTACCTGCCAATTCTGAAATGGCAGCCGACTCGTCGCTTTCGATTTTGTCAACCTCTGTGGCTTCGTCTCCTTCGTCCTCAGCTTGTGCCAAAATGTCTGATCAAAATGGAAAATGTTTAGGTTTGTGCCTTTTACTTCTTCTTGCTTACTTGTATTTTCAAGAATTGGAATCCACCATCCACATTTTAATCAAATCAAATTTATCACAAGAAAGCAAACCGTCGTCATCAGATTTTAAGCGTCTTGAAAGTTCAAGACAAAATTATAATTATTGCAATTGCAGCATTAGAAATTATTTTATGTGTACCTATTCTACTATACGTAATAAGAAAAATTGGGGTGTTTGGAGAAATTCGAGCCAACTAATTCAGTGTAGGTAATCACTTATTAAATCAAAAGTGAAATCGAAGTTGTACTTTGGTCACACTTCATTCACAAAACATGTCACTTTTCCAATAGACTGAACACTTGTTCATCAGATAAATCAGATTTCACGTGCTCATCGTAATTTTCGCAAGAAACTCGAGTATTACCAATGTCGTCTTCCATCTTTCGATGACCTACGTACGTATGCACGACCGCACTTATTGCAAAGAAAGTACACTTGGTGGATTGCCTATGTAAACGCCATAAGTGATGCATACCAATTACTTGATGGGCCCAATTATTTGATCCTCGGCACGACAAGTTTATTCTATGGAGAAACTGGCAAAATACACGTGATACCAATATTCATGTTGTTTTCATGCGTTGTGATACTTGATACAGCTAATTATTATTTCTAGTAGGCGTTACCAGTGGGCGTAAAGAAATTTTCTTCAAATGTGATCTTGTTTAGGCATTTTAATTTTTAGGCTAATTTAATTGACCTCGTTCGTAATAAAACTGACAGTTTTAAACGTCAATTTTACACTACTGCAACGATATAGCTAATTATCTGGTTTTATATCGGTTGTACTCTCCTCGTTTTATATAATGTTGGCATTTATGCAGTTGTCCCATGAGGTTTAGCGATTTGAAAGCGATGACTCAATTTGTATGCAAAGTCTGAACTATAGTGATTTTTGTTCTTTTAAATGAGAATCTCGGGTGCAATATTTAGTTTTGTAAATGAGCACAATCATATTATGTAGTTAAGCTGCAACTAAATACTGTTTCAGACAAGGCGAATTAATAATAAACCACGTTGTGTGGTGTAGTCATTCATGGATTTTTTTTACAATCAGGAAGCCAAACAAGTCTGATCATTTCATCATTGACGACTAACTAATCACTTTTATCGCATACTTAATAAATGTACGTATTTACATCTATGGGTATGAAGAACACTTTTAGATTTAGCTTAATTATAATTATATGTATAAAGTTTTAAGTTTGATTTGTGCAGCCATATTTTTAACACATTACTTGTTCGTATTTTTAGTGTTTTATACAATCAAGCTGAATCTCAAATTGTTTAAATGTTACTAACCCAATACAAGTTGTGGATGTAGCGTTGAGGATAAAGATGTAAGGTTTTGTAATAATTGTCAATATATATAGCTACATATCGTACTCGGTTCGACTGATGTGATGCATCCATCGTTTATTATCGCAAGTTTTTATGAAGGCGTAATAATTATATAAATATAAGATACTCAATCATTCGAAAAATGTTTGTCGGCCAAAAGAAGATTTGTCTGTTTATCAAAAATGTTGTAATACTGATTATTATGATGTAAAAGTAAACCACTTTAAAACTTGGACACTAACAGGTTTGCATTTTTGGCATTTTTAAGCATTTCCAACCATCTGCACATGTACAGGCACAATACTTTCAATATAGCTGCTAATGACCATATTCCAGTGATTTCAATGATAATTCCACCATTCTGCATATTATTATATAAACGTATCTCACGCAGTATTGTAAATATAAATGTTGTTTGGTCAGTCTGGTGGTCGTGGTAAATGTGCTTGGGGTATTTTCGTGAGCATTTCAGACGAAAAAGGAAGTGATGAACGAATAACATATTTTAATATCTATGATCCTCACAATAATGTACAACTTGTACCAAGCATTGACTAGAAGTGAACACCCGCTTTGGTTTGGGATGATTGATGTCGCCGTTAGCAGTCTTCAATATATATCTTGGTGAGTGGTCCACACACGCTGATCCTCAAAACTTTGCTTAAATCTTTTTTTTATGCTAGCTTTCTCATGTATGTCGCCGTATGTTGTGTGCATATATGTAATGTACATATTTATGCCTGTAAGTAGATTTGGTGATTAATGTCTCTCTTTTTACTAAAGCTTTGATTGGATTGTTTATTTATTAACCATAATAATTTGCTAAGTGAATATATTAATTCTTGTTAATTAGTTGAATAAAAATGCCAAAAATGCATGCTATTTACTTTGATAGAATAAATGGCCCTGAAAGATGCATGACTTTCACTTAATAGTTTTAAGTCGTAATGAACTGTTTGTTTAATTTTTGGTTACATTATAAATGCTTCAAAGTGATAATTTGACTGGGGGAATTTTCAGTTTGGTGTTATGAAACTGTTGTGCGTTTTCACCCAAATTAATACTTCTTTAGTTCATTTTACTTGCATATAAATTACATGGCTTTACATTGCACTTTGTTGAACTTAATCGGGTTTTAATTTCCTATGTACATAAATAAATCCATAAGTATTGCAATTTGGGAATGATACGGAAACGTTATATTTTATGTTTTTGTTCAACAGAATGCTCACTTGGCCTGGCACTGTTTAACGGGATTTGTCAGCCCTCTTGTCCCGATGGCTACGTCAGTCAAGGTCATTCGAGGGAAGATGTCGGTCCTGCAGCCCTGTTGACCTATATTTGCGTCCAGTGTCACTACACTTGCAAAACATGCATTGGCCCTTCTGCGTACGAGTGCCGAACGTGTTATGAGGATTCGTCCCTGGCCAATGTAGAGAATTTCGGTCAACTGTGTTACACTTCTCAATGGTTAAGTTACATGAGCGAGGCGGTTATCTGGTTTAAGCTATTGATAGGTTCCCTCGTAGTGAATGTTATTGTTATTATTATTCTCATTTACTGCATCTGCTCCCGTCGCAATAATAGGGCAAGTGGCATCGTAGGAAGAACTCATAGTACCGGTGAATCTCAAAGACAGTGGGAACGAGACAACCAGATATACACACGCATTTCTCCCGATGATAATAACCTCTCGGAAGATGAATTTGAAAATCTAGAGATAGAATCTGAGACTGAAGAATTCTCGACAAATGATGTCGAAATGAGAATTGGAAAAAAGTTTCTCGTCGCTGAAGAGACTAAGCATGATGATGGCCTCCTTATTAAGAATAAGAATTATAAAGCCAATATAAAAACATTTAAAGTTGCCCTTTCCCCTTCGCAAATAGTTTCAAACGTCTCTTCCAAAACAATATCCGAGGATAGCATAAAGTTGGTCAAGGATGATGATGAAAATAGCTGAAAGCAATTATTATAGATTCCTAAATTGTCAAAGATTAGGAATATGTGCACTGAAAGTGCTCAGCACTAGAGTATTACTCCTCGTATCATTACTTATAGACATATATGTATACGCAGATCGTGTAGAGACTCGTATATTTCAATGACTAGAATTCTGTAACTCGCAGTTTGAATTAGTATTATTCGTCTTGTGCCTGATTTAAAATGTATCATTCCGCCTGCAACAATTTTGCAATGTGATAACTTTAAATGTGTAGACAATATTTTATGTAAGCCAGCGGATGAAATTCCACGATATCATGTATTGTTCGCGAATATGTAGATTACAGAAACACGTTGTATTAACGCTAAATATTTAAACTTTTGCTGAACTTTATCTCGCAGGTACGAGTTCAAGTAGGAGTGTCGCAAGTTCTTCAATCAATAATGATCCGCAACTTAATTTAAACATTTTATTTAGGAAGTATGTACTTCGTCCCGTGATAATTAATACAGTGCCGTTGTCTCCGTGCAAAAAAAAAATGCATCCGTCTGGAAATCCTGTATCAATTAATTTCCCAACACTTGAAGTGTAGTGCAATAAAACTGAACATATTTTATAACCATAACTTATAATGAGTATAAAGTAATAATGGTGCATAATCTATATTTTTCAATCCCATCATATTATTATCTTGATGCCACTGTGTTTCGTATTTTTAAAATATATACAAATCTTCGCCTGTTTTATTTAGTAAGTAAGTTCGATTGGTAGTAATTAGTATGATAATCTTTGTTAACTGTTCCAACTTTAGAAATATGGAGAATAACTTGCATCAATTTGAATAATAACATAGTTTAAATAAATCAATCAATCGATGACCCATTGTGTTTTGTCCAAAATCTTTGAGTACTTTTTTTCATACATCTTGTAGGATATTTAGTATATCTAATTCAATTGTAGAAAATACAGCTACAATGGAAATAAAATGTATTACTATACAAGTACATAAACATGAATAGTCACCACAAAATGACCCGAATCACTGCCTTGCCACGATCGCTTGATTTGTAGCCAGAGTCAGGGCTTGCATAAGTGGTAACCGACGTGTCTGTCCGAGGCATGATAGAGTCAAAACCGCTGAACTGATTGACTTGAAATGTTGCACACATTAGTGGTATCTAGGTGGGTGGGTGAGGTATTCCGCATCAAAATTTCAAAATTGGGTTAGAAAGATAAAACTTGGAACACAAGTCTCTAATGGCCTGTAATAATACAATATTTTGAAATTAGAAAATTTTTCAACCGGAGGTCCCCTCACCTATACCGATTTTTGAAAATAGTCGTAAAGAGGTGAAATTTAGTATCAAGGTGCAAGTGCACATCAGGCCAAAGAATAAGAAGTTGTAGATTCAAGAGTAATTTTGTCCCCACTGGTTTTTTTATATTGATTGAAAATATCTGAAATTTGGTATGAATGTGCGATTGAAAAATTTGCCAGTATGAAGCAAATCCTATCATAATCCTAATATAATATAATCTCTATACATACATGTGTACAAGATATGTACAAGATAGATACATATATGCAAATAATAATTATGTAGTGGTTGCTTTTGTCATTTAAAATCTGGATCAAGTTAATTTCAAACCAATCTGCATGGAATTAGTGCACCGTTTTTGCGGTTTGAGTTAGTAGCCGAAAATAATGGGCTGCTGTTAGCGACAATATTGCTAAATTCGAAAATGAAGGTTTTTGAAGTACCGAACTGTCACTAAATTATTGCTACCACTAATTAATCTCCAATTGACTAACTAAAAATACGACGTTCTGATCTTGTACTGACGCTGTAGAACAATTTGTTTTGACTTAATTCTGTAGGTATTAAATTAGACATGCCGACGCCGACTGCAAAAGTTCGCGAGCATAGTAAGGAACTAATTCGGGCGTTTACTCCTATTCGATTTTTCCTCATGATGATTGGACAAATGCCTTTCGACATCAAAAAGAAAGTAAGTACTGATCAACAATTGATACATATGCATGTCAAGAGGATGTCTCAGCAAGATGATAAATTTTAGAAAGATAACACGTACACATTTAAGCTGAACTCTAGGAGCAAGAGTTGGTTCTTTTTCCTGTTCATGTACGTATCCAAAACATACAAAACCCGAAAGGTGCATAGAATATTCATAATCTGCAAATTGTTAATTACCTTCTTGTTAATTACTTAGGTTCAGCATTGCTACAGCGTTTTATATCATGGTGACCGTGGGGATTTTGTCCTTCATTTTCAGTTCGGCTACTAGCAAGTGGATTGCACCAACGCAATATATCGTGTACGTCGTGGCATTGATCATTTGGAAACTTGGTAGTTCTTAATTTCAATTAAATTGCAGGGTTAAGGACCCAGTGACTGGCGAGAATGAAGCCCAGCTGTGGGAAAGGTAGGAATTATTACTAAATTAGGACTTATTATTAGATTAGTTTAAATTTAAATTAACAATAATTAAAGGTACAACACTAGAAAGGAAATGGTCCCTGTCCTCGTAATTTGGTCATGGATGACCATTTCATTCGTCGGGAGCTTGCATGTTCTTCTTTACGGGAAGTTTTATGTCCACTACATGAACTACTTTAATCGAGTGGTAATCGGGTGCAAGATACCGATAAAAAGTTTTCATTTTAAGTTCAATTTGTTGTTTAAAATATTTTGTAGGTTCAAATGATGGATATTGATATGACTGGGGTTAGTCCGTACTAGATGCAAAATTTGCATTGCAATTCATAATATAAGAATTATGAATATGTATACAAAATCTTATGCGAATTTAACAGGGGATTAAAAACTACTTGTGGAAAAATAACATTTTAACATTGGGAGTTGCAGTTGGTCTCATCTTGGGGTTTAGCTTAGAGACGTTTGGTTTCACAGCAATTGGAAACACGGCCAGGTAATTCAGAAAAACCATCTCGTCGAGTTACTTTGGGCTTAAAAATATGAATCGATGTTTGTTAACATTTTGTTCTATTACAGCGTGCTTGCTAATTTTGTACTTCGAATGTTTAATGTTGAGATCGAAAGTTTAAATTGGTGGGAGAAGTTAAGCTGTAAAATGTTTGGATTGTTAATCATGGTACATGCGCACTGCCACGCATTTTTATTAACTGTTTTTATTAGCTCTTTATCAGTGCATGCTTTAATATCATTTAATGAATTAAATGTGCTTGATTTTAGTTTCTCGCATTAGTTGGGTCACGGGCAAATATTATCCAATTTCTATTCTTCAGTCAATTGTTGAAAAATGGAACAAAAATCTGGAACCAACGATTCACAATTGCATTAGAAATTGGTACATCAGACTATCAATTGGTGCACGAGATGTGCGTACGTATATTTATGCAATTGACGATATGATGTCTACGTGTAGACCAATCTCAACTGAAGAAAAAGGGTTATCTGGAAGACACTAACGCAGATCAGTTTCACCGACGCCTGGATCTCAAGCATATCCTAAAAGACCATTTAATTCTCGTTCAGCTATTCAGAATGACAGAATCTGTGTTCGGTTTCATTCTACTGACTTATTATTGCTTCGAGGTGAGTTAATCACAAATAAATTGATAAATAAATAACAAATAATTTACAAATAAATCTTCATGTAAATGGAAATATTCATACTTTATGAATCATACATTAAAGAAGCGTGCCGTGTATATTTTACAGATTGTTTCAGTGGTGATGGAAATATACCAATTAGCAGGTATATATTTTGCAAGCAGGGGATGATACCCACAATTGTCTACCTATACAAACAACAAAATAAAAATTTGCATATGGGTGTTCAGCATTGGGAGGATTTGCGCCGCCCCCGCCGGATGACGATGATGATATCGTGAAAGACCATGACGTGTTTGAGGCAGACAAGGCACAAGAAAGTGAAACCTTTTCAACGGCAATAGTTTGTTTGATACTGATGTCTCAGCACGTTTGGTTTGCGATCAGTACTACGAGTGATGCTGCAGCAGCATATGAACAGGTATTACAGACAAATTGTGAAAATTCCACTAGGAAGCTATTAATTTCAAGAACACCACAGGCGATGGAAGGGTTCAACATTTTGCGTCAACATGGCTTCATGTACTGCAGAAACAAAGCTGATAGAAATTTTGTATACTCTTTTTTAAACACTATTTTACTGCCACGTATGCAAATTTAAAAATAGTTGCTTTATGATATCAGGCTCTAAGTATGTTCATGTCCTTCTCAAAATATGCTCCAATGCAACTCACAGCTGGTGGATACTTTTCTATAAACAAAGCATTATTAGTGGCCGTATGTATCCTAAATTTTTATATTTCTCATTTCCCTAATTTTCTGCGAATGGAGTATTATATATAACACTTGATAATTTTGCAGATGGCAGCAGCAATCGTAAACTGGGCAGTTTCTATTTATCAAACCAAGGTCGATCAATGGAAATAAACGATATTTACTTATCCTCTTGTTTAGTTTTTATTTTAATTGAACGCAAACTCGCCAATCATTTTCATTAGTAGTAGCGAATATTAAGGGTAATATTAGTATTAAATATTCGAAACCGCATCATCTATCTCAGAAATTGCCGCCTTCAGTTTACGCCACTGGTCAACGGCTAAGCTTATGCCTAAGAATAGAGTAATTTAATTAGAAACAATTTAACTAACAACTAAATGTATAATCATTTTACTGTTGACTGTTACCCTTTTTTCCTGGTTTCAAGTCGCTATCATCACCATAATACTCCCGAATATCCACATAGATTTGTCCCTTGAACTGGCGAACTTTTGCGAATTTTTTCTTTCCTAATTCCCAGGATGGTTCCTCATCGCCCTTTTTTCCTTTATTGGAAGTTGAAGCGTCAGTCTTTGGTTTTTTAGCAACCGGAGTCCTCTATAGAATAAATAATTGAATATTACATTATAGGAGTTTTACCTTCTGCGAGTTATGCGTCTCAACAGAAAATTTCAGCATGCTACATATCATGGTTCTAAATCTAAACTTCACTTTAGTTATGATCACTGATCATAATGACGGCACGACCTTTTTGTATGCATAACGCTTTATAAAGCCGCTTGGAAGCTTAATTAAGCTCTTCAAAACGTATTAAAACCAAGGTCCTGAGCTTAACAAAGCCGCAGAATAAAGCTCCAGTACCCAGTACTATTTAATTAAGCGCTTTTCCCCCGACTGACTTGTTACTTTATTAGCTAATCACATGAATAAGCTTCTATTATAGATATCATTTTTGAATAATAACTGAAAGCAACTCGGGTATTTTTGAAAGCGATATATGAATTTATGAAAATGATTTAGAAATGATCTTACATCGTCAGGGCCAGAGTCACTACTGCTAGAATCCTCTAGCTTTTTCTTTCGGTCTTCATTTACCTTCGGCATCTTTCAATTTTGATTTTATGTTTTACTCAATCTTCCGTCGTGGCCAAACTATACAAATTGTTAAAAATGTCAAATTTTCCAAAATATTTTGAGTTCTAGCTACATTTAACTAATATTTTCATATACAACTCTGATTTTAACTCACCTTCGTTTTTGCCAAAATTCAGTTCTTGACTGAACAACTTTTGTCCCGTGCTTGTGTCGTCGTTGACAAGATGAGCAACCGACGGATCCCGCCAACTTGATGCTGCACTCCATTTTCGCCCCAACTACTTCCAACACAACTTCTCGTCTCTACGAACGACCTCAAATTTCGAAAAAGTGAAAAATTAATTGAAACACAGAACAATTAGTTGATGAGCGAAGTTTCTTGCGTAGGTAACTGTTAGCTCTTGCGACACACTTACTACCGACATTGAGTTCATACCACATTTATAAATTAGGTCCGCAGTTAAGCCAACTCTAAGCATTTTCCAAAGTTGTTGTTTGTTGTTACTTAAATTTATACATGTTGTGTAAAGGTTTGTTTGCATTGTTTGCAGTGTATGGCAAAATTTTCCCTGTGATCAAGCTCCAAGGGGCTGTCCATCCTTTGCTTTGTTGTGAAATCGAATCAATTCTCAGACTCTGTTATCTTGAAACACTTACCAGGCAGAATGACTCGTAAGGACAAATATTTGACTAGAAGTATCTATTCAGTCATCCCTCCTCTTCGCTGATCAGGAGACCTGGTTTCCGTAGGATGGATGACTAAATAGCTACGCTAATCAAAACAAATATAATCAAAATTGAATGCAACAACGTTAAGGTATTAACAAAGTGTACATGATAAGACTTAATACTTTTTTCTTTACTTAAGGTGGAAATCAAAGAGATTTGGCCAGGGCTAAGGCTCAAAAGAAACAGCAGGAACAGTCCAAAAAGAAGGGGGCTGACGACAAGGGAGCAAATGCTGGGTTAACATTGGAACAGCGCCGCGAAAGGTGACCGACTTGAAATGAAATTATGTGTTTATTGGCCTTTATTGTAATGGTTTTAAAACAAATTTGATGTTTATTTATTTTCAGAGATGCTCAATTATTACGGGAGAAACAAGCCAAGAAAGCGCAATCAGATGGTCAATCCTCCTCACAAGTTAAATGACGAAAAACACCAGACTACCTCAAGACTGCTATTTGAACACGATATGGACATATATACATACATGCCTCCCTGAGCAATATTACTGTCAGTGTAAATGTCACTAAAAAGTATCTGTATTGCTTTTTCTTTGAAATTTCATTTGTACTAATAATACTGACTAATAATATCATCATCTAATGTGCCCTTTAGTTTATTCTACTAAAACGCAATGCATGTCAGTATGCTGAAAATATGTATCTTTTATTACTATTTCTATCTCGTCTCACTCAATTGTCTAATATTATTTTTGGCTGCAAGTAATTGAAAATAAAATTGGTTAAAATACTTAATATACAATTATGCCAGTCGCAACACAATTATTAGTGACATAATTCATCTGTAACTCAGTCTTTCGAGCAATACAGCGGCCAGTCATGAAAAATATAGCTTCAGTACATTTTATTATTAACCATAAATAACTATTTATAATTAATTCCAAATAAAATTTAGCAAAACATTATTTTGATATTTTTTAGAAATTACATGAGACCTTGCATTTCCTTCATAAAATCAGCATATGCATCATCCTTGCTTTGTTGAGGTGGTCTCGGAGGTTGTGGTCCTTTAAAGTGCATATGCGATTGCCCAATTTGGTATTCTAAAGAAAAATAAATAAATTGTTATTCTGGCCCACATTTAATCTGAATATTATTATTATATAAAATTATTTAATATGAAATAAAATACCTGGACGTTTTGGTTTGTCAGGTTCATCTTTCTTAGTTTTTACAGCAGTGGGTATAAATCTTGTAACATCAGCACTCAAGCTCCTAAGAATTATTTGAATTTGTGTTAAACAATAGCATGGCATGACATCAGTATTATGTCATTTTTCTTACCTAATTTGTGGCTTTGCTTGAATCATTGAGTCCGAAACAATTTTATCTGATTTAACAATTTGAGGTGAGCCAGAAAATACATTGGATCGCTGAGGTTGTCTAAACCTTCCTCCTCCTCCTCCAGGTGGAAGATAAGTATTATGTCTAGGACCAAAGTTAGGTCTCATCATTGGAGGTAATGGTGGTGGATATCTCATTCGGTTATTCGGAGGCATATTTAGATTCGGTGGTGGAGGTGGAAAGAATGGTGGTTGATGAGCTGCTGGACGCTGTTGTGGGGCCGGAGGAGGCCTTATAGAAGAGGACGCATCTCCCATCGACGTTAAAGAAGACCCAGAAGCAGTTGTCATTGTCGTGTCGCTTCCACTAGAAGGTGGAATAAGATCTGAGTGCATTTCAGTATCTTCGTCGAGGCCCTCTTCAGATTCCTCTGGGTCTTTACTTGAAGATTCTGGGATCTTGCCACTTTCTGTCCCAGGCGGTTGAAGGTCATCTTCATTCATTGACTTGAATTCTTCCTCAACCTGTTAACATATTTATGCACGTCATTTATCTCTGGCAGTTTACTCAGTCACTACTATTATACCTCTTTCATGAATCTGTCCATCTCACTCATTGTGTGATCCTCATCATCCTTGGTAGTATCGGAAAATCTAACACCTTTACTTTTATTATCAATTATTTTTGGTTTTTCCGGCTCCGTTTCCATTTCATCATCTGATAGTTCATCCATGTCACTAAGGTCAGGAGGGGGGCCACAAGGAACACCTGGTGTGTAAATGAAAATGATTAGATATATCCAAGAACAACTATATTGATATACTTATGCAGCAAGCTAATGATAAAATGAAACTAAAGAATTACAAATCTCATGCATCTGTGTACCAAACAAACAAACATTAAAGTGACTCTTGTGGTGGCGTATCGTCTAAAACACTAATAGAATTGCTGTGATTGCGCGTCGGTTTGACAGAGCTGAGCCGGTCAACCAAAGGTCGGATATTTCTACCCGTGGGAGCCACGACATATTGAAATGATAATAAAATTAATCGGATTCCTTAATTGTACAGTGTACAATTAAGGAATCCGATTAATTTTATATAGATAAGTTGATCTATATTCTAGAAAGCCTTGATTTCAGTATAGTTGTTTTCAAGCCTGCAAATGATTTTCTCCAATCCACTTTCTCAATGTTCAAGTCATTAGTAATTTTACTAATTTTAGATTGTTTTTGTAAATTATTGAAAATAAAATTGTAAATATGAATTGATTAATAAAATATAATGTTTAAAATACCCTGTAGTTATCTGAATATTTTTTAGATTACAAATTAATTAAAATAATAAATTAAGGCACACCTGGAGGATCTCTCCCTTGAAAGGTTGGGGTTCCAGGGGCTACGGAAACCATTGGGGCCTTTTTCAAAATACTGTGAACTTCTATGGGAGGAGGGTATGGTATTCCTCCTAGTCCAGGCATTTGTGGTAGTTGAGGGGTGTTAGCAATAGGACCACCATCGGGCAAGGGAATATTTGCCAACTCTGTCGTCCCGTCCCCTGGGGCATCTGGAAGAGGAATTTCTTCAACATTGCTCACACTTTCTGCCTGTTTCACAGCCTCAAAAAACTGAATCCGATGAAATCTACGTCGCTCATAGTCTGATTCAATCCGCTTGAGCTCACTCCAATATGTTGGATTATCTTTTTGCTACAAATTGTAGAACAAAACCATAAGAATTATTGTAATATTTTACTATGATTCTTATTAGATATAAATAATAAGTAAATCTCTTTAAAGATATCACATGTTCAAAGAAAAATAAACTTACATAAAGCTTCATAACCCTATCCAACGTTTCTTTTAATTTTTTCCTTTTATCTTTCAATACTTTGTCTGCAAGCGGAGGTGCTTCAGTGGGATTATATTCAATTTCGTCCAATTTGTCTAATTCCTTAATTATGATTCCGGGGTCTTTGTTCTTTAAGACGGCGGTTCGAACTAGTTGACGTTGTTTCTTGTTCTTTTTTAATTCCTTTTTTCTTGCCTCTTTCCTCGCCTGGTCTGTAGGATTCATAAACTTCCCACTAACAGAAAAATAAATAAATTCATATTGTCATTCATATGCACAAGCTCGTCATTTTAATCATGGGGCCTAGATTAACGGTATTCAACTTTGAACACATTTTAGCTGATACTGTTAATGAATCTCTTATTTTTCAATTACCTTTTTGTACTTTTGACGCTTCTTCTACCCATCTTGACTTTTAAGAGGTTGGTGAAACTCCACAATAAGTTATACTAATAGGTGTAAAGATTGTTCAGTTTATTGTGGATTTTTATGAACCGAATTAATTAGTTTTTGTAAAGAGTAGTCTTTTGCTAAATAACAGAGCGGCGATAATACCAAATCAAAGTTTCTCGTCCCAATGTTTGTAAATGAGTTGAAGTTGAGCGGCGCTACGACGTCTTGTTTTTCCCAAGATTTTTCACAATTCAGACATTGGTTATTTATTTATAGACTTTTCATTTGATGACAAATAGTTTTTATAGGGTAAAACTCATAGAGTTGTATATAACAAAAGTATAAACTATAAACTTTGTACGCATGCTATTTTATGTATCCTCAAAATTGTTTCAATTGTTTCGATATATCTCGGTTTTCATAAATATTGTATCTCATAAACATGTCGGCAATATTTTTGTAAGTAAGAACAAACAAATTTGCTCATTTTACGTTAAAATACTTTAATGGGAATTAAAAAAAATATATATTATAAAGTGGCACATCATACAAAGAGTAGCCACTTGATGTGTGTGTGTGTGTGTGTGTGTGTGTGTGTGTATCTGCTTTTTTGACTCCCGCACCACTGGGGGCAGGTTGAGATTGGCCGACGGGCTTATAAAAGTGGTTCGCAAATGCGAGCTAAACTACTCGTAATATATAAATATATCTTGATGCCTTTTTCTTAAGTGCTCGATTTTTTAAAATAATAAATAACCGACGTTTGGTTTAGTTTGTTTACATGCAGTGGTCAAAAGTCTCACTTTAGTTTTATATCGGCACAATTAGAAAACAACTTATTATAATTTTTTAATATATCACAACTGAAGAATAGTAAATTATTGCTTAACTGAGCAATAAACAAAAGTAATTATAGCATACGAACATACGTACGTGTTAATTTTATTTGGTCTTCTTTGTTTGGAGTCTTTGAATCAATAATATTGTTTAAACATATAGATAATATATTTTCGAATCCAGGCGCGCAGCCACGAGAGTATAGCAGGGTGGGCATTCCATATAACGTTATATGGAATGCCCACCCTGCTATACCCTCGTGGCTGCGCCTATGTTCGAATCTATCCTATATCATGAAAAATATCTCATGTATGCAACGTATATTTATAAGCATCCATATCTGTTTTTATTGTGCATAATTTTATTTCATATTTAATATTTAGTAGGGTTCTTCATTTGTTTTATAGTTATTCCAAATATGAAGCACGACGTTGGGTTGAAGATATTTGGAGAGAGGGTGGTGTTGGTCCCATACAGGCGTGAGCATGTCGCCAAGTACCATGACTGGATGGGTGACGCCGAGATTCTCCACCTCACAGGATCAGAACGTCTCACTCTTCAAGAGGAGTTTGAAATGCAGAAGACTTGGGAGGAAGATGCTGATAGTACGGGTGCCCAAAAATTTGTAAAGCCATATTCTACGTAAACCCCGTTTTCATTAATGTACATAAGGCATTTTTCAGAGTGTACCTTCATCATCCTGAATAGAGACTTGTATGAAAAATCGGCGGACGAGGTGCACAGCATGGTCGGAGATACTAATTTATTTCTAAATTCCAATGACGACAACCACGATGAGACTGTTGGAGAAATCGAAATCATGATTGCTGATAAAAAATTTAGAAGAAAGGGACTCGCTTCAGAAGCTTTAAAATTAATGATGGACTATGGTAATTTTACATTTTTAGGCATAGATTATGCAGCCACATTTTAATCCAACCTTGATTTATTATGGATACATTTCAGCTCGTCAGAACCTAGGAAAGAGAAAATTTCTTGCTAAAATTAAACAAGATAATGAATCCAGTATTAAGCTATTTGAGAGATTAGGGTACAAGTTTGTGTCAAAAAGTGATGTTTTTGAGGAAATTACTCTATTGTACGAATAAAATGACGTTGAATTTATGTATTATCAAAGCCACGTACGAAAGTTGTTTTAACAACTTTGTTGCCCATTCTAGCACTCATCCATGATTTACAGCGAACTGTAGACCAAGGTTTAATTTAATATTAATAGTGTCATACATCTATAACTTGAAGGGATTAAGCAACCCACTGCATGCAAGAACCGTACCGTCTCTGTTAAAAAAAAACTTATATGGAACAGCCAGAAGCCAATATTTGCTTTATGTACATAGTACATAGGACTGCTGAGTCTGCGTCCCAGTTTACTGAGAAAGATTAAATATAATCCTTCCAACAGTTCCTGGTGACTTACAATTAGTTTGCATTTTAGAATAACGGTTGGTTCAACTAAAATACTGTTGACTTTTTGTAGGCGTAGGTCATTTCAAGTTTGCTCTGGTGCATGCGATATCTACGATGAGCATGAGGCTTTTTCAAATCTGGTTATTCCCGTTCCTGGCAACATCTCCTGTAATGCTGTTGTTACTTTGTAAAGGCCAACTCTTGGATGGGGCTGAAATAATAGAAGCGTCGGTGGGACAACCATGGCCGAAACCACAATTAGTTGAAACTTATGGGGAAGGTTTTCTGGTTATTCGTCCCTCACTGTTCCGTTTTGAAGTTAGTAGTTAATTTAATTAATCGTACTCAATACTATGAACAATAAGAATTCAAATTTTACGTACATATATTTAAATACTGATATAATTTTAGGTGACGAGGCATTCATGTGACATACTCGACCATGCCTCAAAACGATATTACGCTCTCATATTGCGCTCCAGTTATCACTACAAGGTTTACTCCAGATTGCGAAACTCGAAGGATGCATCACCGTCCATTGCACAAAATAAAACATGGAAAGCGAACAAAGACTTTGATGGATATTTAAATATTCTCAAAATCGAATTGTCGAGTCCTTGCGAATCAGTGCCCCATGATAACATGGAAGAAGCTTGTGTGTATTTAACAAATATTTAATTCCTGTGATATGTAGACATACGAAGGCTGATGAAAAAAATCATTTTTATCTGTAGATGAATTGAGAATAGATACGCCCGATCTGCCTGGCGAAGGTTATCTGGCGTCTTCAACGATTTGGGGAATTTTAAGGGGACTGGAGACTTTCTCTCAATTAATTCACCCAACTGATGATTTTATAGCGGTAAATACCGCTATTAAGATTAATATTATATTTCACTTTGCATTTAAGCTCCGTGCATTCGGTAAAAACGTCAATAGCTTATAATAATTATTGTTTACTTGACAGCTACAAATTAAGAATGCTCTTATCCTCGACTACCCAAGATTTTCTTTCCGATCAGTATTGCTGGACACTTCCCGACATTACTTATCAATGAAAGTTTTATATCAAAACTTAGACTTGATGGTCATGAACAAATATAATGTATTTCATTGGCACATCGTGGATGACCAGTAAAATAACACATATTCTTTGTGCCGTTAATTACTTTTCTAATGAAATTATGTAAATCAAAATATAGATCATTTCCGTATGAAAGCAAACGGTTTCCAGAGATTAGGTAAGCATTATAATTAATTATACCATCTTTCTACCAAATCAATTTAATAGCCCTAACCTAAATACATATATGACACGTGTGTAATATATAATTTTAATAGTGAAAAAGGAGCTTACCATGAATATACACATGTCTATACGCAAAAAGATATTCAGGATGTTATTGAATACGCCAGAGTTCGAGGTATTCGTGTCATACCTGAATTTGATACGCCAGGTAATAAGATACGTACATACTGTGTAGTTATATTACACTTTAATAGCATGCATTTGTGAAAATTAAAAGTGAGACTAATCTAACACTTATGTACTAAGGACATACTAAATCATGGGGACCAGGAGTTCCTGGATTATTAACTGAGTGCTACAATAATGAAATCGAATATTCTGATGAAACATTGACATTTGGACCAATTGATGTCAGTAATTTAGCAAATTATAAATTTTTAAGAACATTTTTCGAAGAAGTGGCCAATACATTTCCTGAAAAATATTTGCACTTGGGTGGAGATGAAGTCGATCACACATGCTGGTAATTTTATATGCTATTTTACATGCATTTTACATTGGTAGTATTATTATACGACACAATTTTGCCACATCAGCATACTAATTTTTTGCTACTTGTAGGAAAAGCAACCCTAACATCTCCGATTTCATGGAGCAAATGAACTTTACAAGTTACACCCAGTTGGAAGGATATCATATGCAAACATTGATTGATATCGTCCAAACATTTCCTACAAATAACTCTTACGTGGTTTGGCAAGAAGTTTTTGACATTGGAGTCAATCTTCAAAATGACACTATTGTGCATATATGGAAGGGGGAGAATCTTGCTAAAGAAATTTACAAAGTCACGGCCGCTGGCTATAGAGCTTTGGTGTATTCGTGCTGGTATCTCAACTATATTTCTTATGGAATCGACTGGCCCAAGTATTATTCCTGTGACCCACACAATTTCAACGGTTCAGATGCACAAAAGAAACTAGTACTCGGGGGTGGAGCCGCCATGTGGAGCGAATATGTTGACTCTACTAATTTGATTCCTCGTCTCTGGCCGAGAGCGAGTGTTCCTGCAGAACGATTGTGGTCAAGTGCAAATGTCACTGATCACCAAGATGCAGAAAAACGACTAGAGGAACATCGTTGTCGTTTGCTTCAAAGAGGATATAATGTAGAGCCCGTCAACGGGCCCGGATACTGTTTAGTATCGTGGGACTAGGCAATATACCCATGTTGTAGGTATTAATTAATAGCAAGACATAAGGTTGGCTGTCGAAATTCAGTAAAAGTAGACTTGTTCGATAATTTTAATAATTTTAATGCGACGTTGTGACCTACTATTAGACATTAGACTTAAAGCTTTCAGAGTCATAATTTATGTACATATGATAATTTACATTTGCGATCCAAACAGAACAGATCGATGAGGTGAACAGTGGCATCCTTTTTTTGGTGGGTGGTTGTCGTCTCTAACAAATTCACTACGTATTTAGCTAGATAATTATTGTATTTCTTGGTTACAGCTTGTCCGGACCGCCTCTCTAAATATTGTTCACATAAAATTTTGTTACAAAGAATCCTGCTTATTGAATAAATCTTGGTCTATGTATTTGTAAAATTTATAATTGAAAATTACATTAATGAAAGCAATTTCTTCTTCATCTAAAGGACGTCGTTGAAAGCGAGATGGCAACTGCCAGTCTTCAATCGATGGTAGCTGATAAGCTTCATTTTGTTTGAGAGGGGTGGCAGGGGCACTCGGAAATCGTGCTGCTGCTGCTGCAACGACCGGCGATGGTGTAGGGCCTGCCTGGCCAACATGATGACTAGTACCTTCATTCAAAAGAGAACCAGAAACCACCAAAATTTAAATGTGAAATGTCAATGACATTTCATTGATGACATTATGTCGCCGTTAAATTGTAGTTTCCCTTACCAGATCCTTTGCGAAATTTGATTAGAGGAACATGGGGTTTGAGGCTCTGCGGAGACAAAGCAATTAAATATTAATGTTTTATACTACTACTTTACTGAACAATAATCTGCAATCTGATCGAATCTAATTATTCCTGGTATTGAATAACGTGGCAAAAGCATAGTTGGTCCGATTGTATGTGACGACAACCAAGACTAAATATTAGTGGGGAACAAATGAATGGTTGATAGTGGGGAATCTTTACTGGAGAAAGTTGAAATACCTTGAAAGCCTGCGACACGGCTGAAGGTGACGGTTTCATCACAGATTGGATGAAGCTCTTGACCTTGTTCGACAGTGACATGAAATCAGCAATGACTTAATAGAATAACTTGGTAATCAATAACTATCAATAACGACAGGTCAACCATCACCTGTTTTAAGAAACAAGCAGGAAGTTCTCTGTCCAATGTACAAGGAGAAAGTACAACACTAAAAAACTGTGATGAAAGTAGATCAATCTCTTACCTCACTTCCTTCGCGGTCTGTGGAGCAGACTTTAGCTTTCCAAAATCAAGGGAAGAAAGTAATTAAAATCCTGCCGGACCGGAATGCATGAGGCGATTGGAGATCATGCTATGCATTTATGCTTGGCATGTTTATGAAACCTTATCCGATATTGAAAAGAGCCCTAAAGATTATTTGGCACTTCATCACTCTAATAAGGAGGGTCCATTGTATCCTTGGAGAACTTCTAGATATAAATAATTTCTATCTAGAAATTATTGTTCACAGTCAGACGACCCTGCTTAACCAGGGCCGAGTTATATGCCAAATTTTTGTTTTTAAAACCTAAAATGTTTACTTCATTTAACCCGAGTGGGGGACAGAGGTTTTCATTTGAACATTTTTCCTCTCTCTTGAACTGAGATGGGACAGAGGACAGAGCAAAATCGGTCAACCACTTGACCGATTTTTGACCGACTTGACCGATTTGCTAATCGTCAAAATTAACTCCACATTTGTCCCATACTACATGTGTACCAAATTTCAAGTCGATTGGATAAGTTTTACGAGCGTAATCGATAGACGGGCAGACAAAGCCCTGACTTGGGCCAAAAACCTGTTAAAAATTTTACACTTTCCAAATTTACTAATTTTTCCTCTTTGGATGCAAATAAATACCTCCGCCAAGCGTTTGCCTTGGCAGATACTGTCTTTTGCAAATTTCGTATTGAATTTGTGATCGATTGACACTAGTTTTGTCGAAATCTGTCAAAAAACTACGTTGTGAGACCTTCATTGTTAGTGAATAACTCATATCTAAATAGTTGAGAACAGTATAGCCTAGGCATAGTACCCTAGGCATATATCTTATTCCATGATCGAGAATATCGGAATTACACATATATCATTAGTAGTTGTGCAAGACGACTTGTGGAAGACGGGCAGAATTGTTTTGAAATTTTTAGACCGGAATTTAGTCAATTTAGCGGTCAACAGATGTAGAGAGTATATGAGTATATAGCTGCAAATGAAACCCGCTAATTGAAACTGCGTCAATGTACATATGCACATGTTTTCAAGTGAATGTGAATATTATTTTACAAACACTTTGAAGATCATACAGGGATGAGATTATATTGTCTGAGATTTCCATTTTCCTACTTCTATGTATCATAGAAGTTCTATGTGACTCTTCAGTAAGCATATCAAGCCTACGCGTTGTTACAAAATCAAAAGTCGGACCACACACGCTTCCTTTCCTCACTCTTTTTGTTTCGTTAATTCTTGGAGAGAATTGGAGGAGAGGATACGATTTGTAAAAGTGAACAATAAGGCACCTGAGGAAGATAGTTGCGAGTGACTGGTGAGTTATCCTCTTGTTCTCATTCAAATGAGAGAAAGTTCAAATTAAAAGGCAATTACCAGGCGCGTTGAGTATTGCTACTCTTTTAATACAATAAGTAATCTTGTTCACTGGTCCCATTATTGTAAGCTTTTGTAACGTTGTAGATCGTGAGGATGAAACATTCATTGAATACTTGCTTCCTACTTGCTTATAGGAACATGCAGAAGTACATACCTACATATGCATATCTTATTTTGAATTCAGTCACCCAAATGATTTTTTAAGACACAATTTTTTAATTTTATGGCATGCTCATGATTTGTTGCTATTCAGAATTGCTCTTGTGACAGCCTACACTACGTTATTAGGCTGGAAATTGCACCTAACCTCTAAAATTTCAAACCATGCTTTTTACCCGTATGCACACACCTATGACCTACATATATATTAAGATGCTGTATTTTGCATCTGTATATCTGTCGGTGGCAGGAAAAAGTTGCTAGAGATTTTCTTTTGATATTTAAATGTAGAATTGGGTTTTTAATTATTAACCTGGGCAAATGTCAAAAATTCTCCATACAAGATTTATATCATGAGAATAGAGATCACTAATATAGATATAAAACTTAAAAAAACTCGTAAACTATTCAATTCTCAGATGGCAGAGATATAAATTTATGGTTCATTTTATACATAAAATTTAATATGCATTTAAAAGTAAAATATGTTACTTAATGTCTTTAGATAATTGTTTTATTTGTAACTATTGTATTACTTTGCCGTTTTATTCAAACACAATTTTGTAGAGCGAACATAAGTAGACGACATTACTTACAATGGTTACATATGTACACATAATTCAGTAGTTTATATAGCCCGAGTCAGGGACAGAGTCCACTTCTAAATGTTTGTCACGTGACCGGATCTAGTTAAAAATATTTTTTCTGGATATCTGATGCATCCTAGTTTAGAAATATTGAGGAATCTGGTCAAGTCGACCCCACCTACTCCAGGTTTTTCGTTGTCAGATAACATCGCCCTTTGTTAAAATAAAAATAAATTAGCCGTGTAGGACGAGATTAAAATGTTTCTTGGCAGATGCTACTACATATGTACCATCGCACCGTTATTGGACTTATTTTGTGGGCAACGCCATCATTACGCCTTGTCCAGAAGAGCTCCTTTTGTCTCATAAAATATGTACAAGTTGCTCTGCGATTGCTTTGTATTCGATAATTCTGGACCCGATTTATTTTACCAGTCAATAAGACTTTTGAAACTCTGGAAGAGAAAGGACAATGACCATATTCGACCCTAACCAAAGAGGATATGGGAATTTATTCCAACTTTGGAAAAATGTAACCCTGCCACATACCACGCCATTGGCGGTTGACTTCATTTAGCCTTTCAATTATTAAAGACCAAAGTTACTAAATGTATTATTTGCCTCCACCAACCTGCGAATAATTGTTTATCAATAATGAATTCAATATCAATAATTTCATAAGTAGTTCCATGCACTACCAACTGTACCCGGTCAAGTTATTCTACCCTTCAAATAATTAAACAAGCTTTAAAATTAAGAAAATATGTCCCACAAATCAAATGAGAGAGAATTCATTAATAAATATGCATAGGAAAATATATGTAGTTTTTAGCCCGAGTCAGGGCTTATGGAACCATCATGTCCGTCCGTCCGTCCGTCCGTCCGTCCGTCCGTCCGTCTGTCCGTCTGTCCGTCTTACGATAACTCTCGTTAAACTCATCCTATCGACTTGAAATTTGGTACACATGTAGTATAGGGCAAATGAGGAGTTAAGTTCGAAGATGGGCGAAATCGGTCAAGTGGTTGACCGGTGGGGGCCATATAGGTGGATGGGGTATTATACATCAAAATTTCAAAATCGTCATAGAAGGCAGAAATTTGGCACTGAGGTTGCTAATGGTGTCTAATGAAAGAATATGAATTCAAGTTGGAAAAAAATTCATGTTGAGGGACCCGAGGGGGTGACCCATACCGATTTTTGAAAATCATCTAATCGAGCTGAAATTTGGTAGAGAGGTTGTTTATGGGTTTTAATGAAAAAACATGAAACGAAATTAGTAAAATTTATATCTGAAGGGACCCGAGGGGGTAACCCATACCGATTTTTGAGTCATTTAATCGAGCTGAAATTTGCCATTGACATTTCTATTAGCTCCTAATCAAATTATATGAAGTGAAATTAGTAAAATTTTTATGTGGAGCGACCCTAGGGGGTGGCCCATACCGAGTTTTAGAAATTGTCTTAAAAAGATGAAATTCGGTACGGTGCATGATACTAAATGGTTTCGTCTGGAAGTATATGAAGTTAAAAGCGAAAAAAGTGGAACCAGAGTAGCCTAGAGGGTGACCCATACCGTTTCAAAAAATTCGCTATTTTAAAAGTTGGTAGCTGATATTCGGGAAATTGGTCATACTTGTGTACTAAAGTGAAGGTGCGATGTCATAACGACCGAATTATTATTTTTAAGTACCCAGTAGGATCACCCCCACTGGTCTGGAAAACGGGTGTAGACGACTTAAAGTTGGCGTGATCCTGCAGGGTTAGATCAGCTTAATAAATGTGAAGTAAATTTTAAGATTTTTTTGGCAGGAGGACACATGGGGTTTTGGAATTGGTTAAAGAATCACTTTTGCACTGTTGCATGCACTTTTGCATGCTTGATTATGGGAAAATTTGTAGGACGATTGAGAATAATTAATTAGCAATCGTCAAAAATGACCGGTACCAACTACTATTAGTAGTTGGTACCGGTCACGTGACAAACATTTAGAAGTGGACTCTGTCCCTGACTCGGGCTATATAAACACTGCACACTGTAGGTTTTAAATGTATGCTACTTAAATTGTTCGTAACGGGACTTGAACCAGAGTGTGATTAGAGAGACCTAAAAAATATAAGCTTCTTAAATATATCATTGTGGTCTTGTTCCTCTTATCCGCACCTGACAATGCAAAATTTAAGAAACTGGTCAGTTGGTCAGTCGCCATCATTAAGGAATATTATGCTTCCTGGCATATGTACTTAAGCTTGTTAGCACATATTCTTCTTTACGCGTGACAAACGGTTGAACTTCCACTCATTGTCAGTCCTCCTGGTATTCAAATTTGCATAACGAGCAATCTGTCTTCGACTCAGATTACACAATCCCGTTTTAAAATGTCACAGCTTCTTGCTCGACCAATCTTCAAGTGTTTCAATTGCAATATGACAAGCAACAAACAGGTTGCATTTTCCAAGGTAAATGTGTTAATTACAACACTTAACATGTCCTGATTTATCCATTTTCAGCCCGAGCTTATGCCTATGAAATCGGGCATGATCGGTTTAGTGATTGGCCGACCCGTGACAGTCAGGGTTGTGGTTGGGGTAAACATTAAAATGTTATTAATTGTCACAGACCCTTCAAATTAGACTTGAAAAAATTATATAATACTAGTATCATGATTCCTATAAAAAAATGGACCAACAATATTTACACTCCTACTTTCACCTGTATTTAATTTTGGCAACAAATATGAACTCCTCCTGTGGTACACTTTAAAATACTTGCAGAACGTGAGGGAAGGATTTAAGCAGGTAATGTTTCTTTTCATAAGCATTCATAAGCCGGGTAAATTTGTTTAAAATATATTCTCAGGTAAATATGTAGACGATTTGAACTATATAAATATGAAGCAGCATCTCAAAATAGTATATGCTGACGATTAAAGAGCTACAAAGGACAACCAAGTGTACATCGGCAGCATAACAACTCCCAGGCACCAGACTTAGGAGTCATGCAAAATAATGAAACATAATTACAAAATTGCACGGTACAGCACAGATCAGCACGAACCCACTCGTTCTTGAAACCCATTGTGTGATCTTCTAAAACTAACAAAGCAGAACGCCAGAATGAAAGAATTTCTATAATTACGATGGTGTAAATCTCTTGTGACATGAAAATGACTCCAACAAAAAAAATATGCTCTCATAATGTACATGGTTGATTGTTGTGGATTATAACGAGCTGCTAACAAGCTCTTGTACATAATCTGAGGCGACCCAAGATTCGTTTTTATTGGATCTCATTGCAGTGAAAAATTGAATATTTATATTCAGCATATTAATTTTCAAATCTATTTGATATCAATGCCAATGTGGTGCTAACCTCCAACCAATTTCACTCGCTAAGGCACATGCATTATTTGCTGTCTGTGCCACTCATGTGTATTCGTATAATTACTTTCCACAAACTACAATTTTATACTAATACGATTCATTTAAAATCAAACGTTAATAACCTTATACGTGGGACCACCTATTGTACGTCAAATGAGTCTACACTTATCTCTGGAATATTGATCCTCCAAAAGTGTACGGTACGGTATGGTACCATTTTATATGTAAACATGGCGTACACCTGCATCAACATGCAAGAATTGATTGGATCAAGAAAATGAGGAAGCAGGTTTTTGATTGCATGTGCTTTGACGTACACACAATTCGTAATGACAGGCAACTATTACATCTGACACGTTGACAAACTACAAAATTAGCTCGCTGTACTCCTATCCACATCCACAGCAATAATCTTATACATAAGTATCTTATCTGCATTTACATTACACACATGTGCGCATAATACCTTCTCATCTTTGTTGCTCCCAAGCATGAAGAAAATATTAATACATAACCCACACTGGTGAGATAAATTCACTCAACAATCAACTAACTGCATATGCAGTTCAAGATCAGTTCAATATAATTTTTATTCGAACTTTGTACTTGGCTAAATATGCAACTATGGACTTGAACTTCAAAGTTGAATCTTCAACATGAGAGAAATTCCAACATGTCGTTTCAAACTATTTTCCTCTTCTAAAATGACTCGACGACTATTCCCCAATATTATAGACGTTACGCATTCATTTTCAATTCATACCGAGAGACAAAAGTAACGATGACTTGCCGATTATGTATTCCAATATCATTTTATTACGAAATTAATTGTCCATCGCGTTGATTGCGATCAGCCAATAAAGGTAAATATCGGGCTAGTTATGCAAAATAAATAATCAAAATTTGGATGCAGAAAGCATTGTGCACAACGAGAAATTATCATTTTTCAATATTTTAATAAGGCTTCCGGGTAAATCTTTTATTTTTTAAGAGACAATAATGGTATTTTAGTATATGTATATGGCGCAAACGTATTTAAAATAATTTAATTTAAATTTAATTTGACGGAACCTTCATTTGGTTATTCGATTTCCACCTGTAAAAGGAGTTTCACATTAATTAGCTTGATTCCTTTGCTTGGAACGACTCTTCACTCATCAGTTCTCAAGATTGCAAATGTGAAAATTCTGCATAGTGGAGCATAAAATGCAGCAAATGAGTATTTAAATGCAAAGGTAAAATAAACAATGCCATTCCTTTTACGTCAATTTCGCTACATAAGGGTTTGGGGTTTATATATTTATGTAAGTCAACATTAAATTTTGCTGTATGTATGAGCTGAAACGAGAAATAAAATTATGTTATTAAAGTTGCCCAGATTTTGATTATGACTTTTACAGTTACATTTGTTGAGATAGAAAACCCCACCATGAGACAAATTCAATCCAATTGTGTACACTTGTAAGTAGTAAAATAATTTAAGCTCATTCGCATAACATGCTTCTAAATTCAAACAGACTCCTGTAACCAATAACTCCAATTTCAAGCTAGATATGTACATCCCGATCGGAGTGATATAATATTCTGGTGCATACATATTCAAATTGTTTCCTCGTACTGAATTCATTTTAAATTTCAAAGGAAGCAACCCGCGTGCTGAGAAGAATAATGAGAGGTTGCAAATAGTAGTAGTATGAATGAACTTCATCTTGTTCGCCATGTCTATTATTTGAAATTTTTAATCCAGTGACTTTTCTATTCTCTCTGAGTTGAAATCATGACCATTACCATTCTCACTATTAGATGTCAAACGGACTGGCAATGCGAGTATTGTTAGAAAATGTAAACGAATCTCACGCTATGAAATTTATCCTGAAAATAATAGAAAATTGTTTATGCTTCATTGTTTGCATGAAGTTGAACATTATTGGCATCACTCTAGATTAGTTAAAAATAGCTTTCTAGTAAAGTATGTATAACACAGTAAATTATCCACGTGTGAGAATTGAGAAATCCATTTGAAAATAAATTACTGATCTAATGGAGGAGGAGACATTTAATAAACATCATTTTTGTAAACAAATGGGATACTAGTTAGTGTTATAAGTTAGCATTTTAATAATGGCATCCAAAACTTCCCAAATACTGTAATTTCACATTAGAGATCTTGAGATCTCCCAGCAGGACTGAAACAGAAAAGATTTCTCATAGGAGGCGAGAGACGTGAAGCTTACCCGTTGCTTTCTTTAAGTAAAGGTTCTTTGAGTAGGTTTTAATGCTGGTTTTATTGTGATGATGTGAACTTTCGTTAAAGAAAAGTTAATGGCTCACAATTTCTCAGTTCTCAGGCATCAATCGTCTCTACTCACACAAAATAATAATTTCACTCAAGAAAGTAGCTGTCCTGTAATCCAAGCCTCCGCTGCTACGTCAAATAAATTATGTATTACGCGATACTGTGAGTCAAAATAGATAGATCCTACGAGTCC